CCCGTCCACCCTCTCCGCCCCCTCTTTCACTCTTCTCTTTTTTCCCGTTTTCCCTCCTTGCCTCCACGAAATTCCATTTCACCCGCCGCCACCTTTTTCCAAGACTCAACCTATTCCGCAATAATAATTTATTGTATAAATAAATAAAGTCACTTGTGAGGTTTTTTTGGAGATATCTATGAGAGTATGGAGGATAGATAAGCTCGTGTGAGGAGCTTTTTTGTAGATCTCAGGTGTCTCTACAGAAAATATTGGAACCAGAATTTTAGTTTTCCTAGGAGTTTTGAGGATATTTCGGAAAAACTTGAGGAGCTTGACTTCTCTCGTTTTCCCACTTCGCTATTGAATTTTTAATGAAAATTTTCGAACTGGTATTCGGTTTTTTATGGAGTTTTCTGCGCAATTTAGTGTCTTTGCGGAATTTGTTTGCCGAGTTTTATTTGCTGGAATTAATTGAGTGGGACGGTGAGAGGGGAGGGTTGCAGGGGAAATTGAAGAGATGCCGTGCACTCGTGAAAAATCGGTGTAGACAGTTCAAGTAAAAAAACAGTGAGCTGAACGGAACTTGAAAAACTTGGCCGAGATTTCCACTTCTGAATTGCGGGATTTGAAGGATGAATTATCATCTCAAACTTACGATTTATCATTTCAAACTTATAAGATATGAGATTCAAACTCTTAAAGTACGAGACTCAAACTTTCAAACTATAATATTCAAATCCGTAAATTCCAAAAATTGAACTTTAAAAAAAAAATTCAACATACAGGATTAAAAACATACATTACAAAATTGAAAAGAGTACAAAATAAAAAACGTAAAATAAAACTAAAACCTTCGAATTACCAAACCATCAAGACGAAGAATCAAAACCCTCACACTTGTGAATATCCGACTTGTAACTTCCATTTTCCATTTCGAACTCGTAAGTCCTGAGTTCCCCCTCTCAAAGTACGAGCTTTAAGCTCATACTACTTTCAAACAGTAAAACTGAAGTAGTAAAGTCCAAAAATTGAGATTTCGTAAGTTTCGTGAGGGAAGTTGAAAGAATGATAAATAATTTGTGGGTATTTGAGTTAGATTCATCAGTGTGAAAGTATTAGTTTAAGTAAATGAGTATGAGGTATGGATGTGACTCATCATGACTAGATTACCCCTGTTGTTTGAGAATGTACATACGAAGTATCTATCCCTGTTCTCCTCGAGTGTTACGCCTGGTGTGCTTTTCTCCCCCTATCGGGGTAAAGCCTCCCGCGCCTACGCCTCTCCCGTTGCCTCGGCAACAACTCGGCTTGGGGTTGGCCACCGTCGATTTTCACCGCCCCCCGCCAAATACCTCTCCCATCCACTTTTTTTTTCCCCCATGGAGAAAAGGACCATTGAGGTAAAACGTCAATGCAGAAGAGTAAACGACGGGGGAGATCCAGCGACAACGGACTTACCATTATTTTCCATTACCCAACATCACCTCATCCCCATTTTACGCACTTTAATTCCTCAACTTCGATTATTTATCTTATTTGAATTTCTTTACAACACCGACTTGAGTCAGGCCCAAAATCTAAGATTTTAGGAGATTTCTCGCAGTTGAATTGAAAGCTTTTGGAAAATCCATAGAATCATTTTGCTTTCAATTATTTTATGGAATTCAATAAACTTTTGAATTATTCGGGTAAATATGTTTTCGAATAATTTTAAATTTCTTTATATTTTAGAGAGGGAAAGAAATTACCTGTCTTTTGAATTGAAAAGTAAAGGATGGAATTATTTCATCTTGTTGTTGTTGACTTAGAAATTTTGTGGTGCTGTGTTTTTTTGGGGAGGTTTCAGTGACGATGAGAGAAAAATTTCCTGCCCTGCCTGAATTTTTAATCAAACGTAAATATTCAACAATGATCAACAAACAATATTCAATAATTTATTCATTCGTACTTTGCCAATTTTTCACGATTTTCACAGAGCAATCTATCTGAAATTCCGAGTTTTTATCGAGTTTCACATGATTGCTCTTTTGAATTTTCCAGATTGATCCCAACGAAATCAATAAAACCTACAATCCCAAAAAAAGCTTCTGGCTTCCGATTCCATGAGAAGCCATGAAATTCTCTGACATAATTTTACAATATATATAATTTATAATTAAAGATCACGACCAATACATTCCACCCAAAGAACTTATCCTGAATGACGTTCAACATTGACTCAAGTTAATTTCCCACTATATCCTGAAATTTCAACGCAATCCACTTTAATTAAATTTTCGATTTCTCTTTGATTTCGAATTGCCATCGATTGACTTATTGCGAGCTCAGATCCACTGATGATAAAAAAAAAACTCCAACCCCGGAGGAGAAAGGAGCCCCGGACGCGCCCGAGAAAATTCCTAAAGCTATCCGAATAATCGTGCCGTCATTGGAGCTGTCCCCGAGTCATATTATATGTCGTTACCCCGTGTATCACTATCTCCATTTCCCTCTCCGTTCGCTTTCACCCTCCACCCCGTGCCCTACCAACCAACGAGACTGGAAGCTGCTTTGGCCTTTGTGCGCGTCGGGCGGCAGTACATCAAAGCCTCCTAGTTGCCGCTCCAGCCTTTGACGGTTGCGTCGCGGCGGTTCGCTCAGTCGTCGTTCGGTAGCGCAAGAGGACCCCTGCAACATCCCCAGTCATCTGTACAAAGTGCACCTAGTGTCCAAGCAAAAAAAATCATTCCAAGTCTCCCAGAGATCCGTTGATCCGTTGATTGACGATCGCCAGTAATTGATACCGCGAGACCCCACCTCGGTCACTGGATTGATGTCGACCCTGTCAAGACCATCAGGTACTACAACCAACGTGCAATGTCGCCGAGGAGTGTCAAATCGCTGCGTGCCAAAGTGACTAGAAAAGGTCGAAAAGTTGTCGGTGTTACTGTGGTAACGCGAGCACTAGGCGAACGAGTAGCAAGGCAACAGCGTAGACGGAGAACAGTGGAGACGATGATAACTGGAAAAAACACCAGCAGTGAGACAAGTCGATCTGGTGGTGTACGCACGCGCCAATCCCTGGATCCCGAGGCACTGGACGGCGCCCTGTTGTTGCAGTGGATGGAGAAGCATCAGAGGAGAAAAAAAAAGGTCAACGACGCTGACTCCATACTGTCACACTCCAACAACGATAATTATTCTGATAACGAGAAACATGCTACGAATAACAACAAGGAATTGTCATCTTCGGATCTCGAGGATTGCGAATCAAAGGCGAAAGTATCACCGCGATCATCAGAATTGTCGGAATTGTCAGAATTCTCGGAATTATCAGAACCGGCAGAATCGTCAGAACCGTCAGAACCATCGCAACCATCAGAGCAATCGGAAGTGTCGGAACCGTCGGAGCAATCGGAACCATCGGAACCATTGGAACGATCCGAACAATCGAAACAATCAGAACGATCAGAATCCTCGGACACAGCAAACATCAAGGTCAGTTCACCAAGAGCATCACCAAGCCGTCCATTTGCAACGCATGCGCCCCAGGAAAGCCTGAGAACCATTCTAGAGGGTTACGATCACCGTAGGATATACCTAGCCCACGTTTCGTTTCTTGACTGGCGGGATCTGCCTGGTAGGCGTTCTGCAGGTGAACGGGTGTGGGTGGTAGGGGCCGCTGATCACGAGGGTCGACATCGAACTCGACTCCTGGTTGCCGGTCGTCATTGGAGACCGCGTTGTCTTCAAGAAGTCAACATGATAACGCAACCTGTTGTTTACGCTGGTGGTGGTAGCGGTTCCCTCACTGCGGATCTCTTCCTCTGGTGGTTTCACCGGGAATTCGCGACAACTGCCATCGCAATGCATCCTGATGGAGCGGTCCTCGTGGCAGAAGCAGCAGATTACCTTCCGCCGGAGGCTGAGTGCGTTACAGCTGATGGTTTGGTGCGTTTACTTGTGGTGCCGAGAGATTTGGAGTCGAAGGTTGTGAGGGATGAGCTGAGGGTGAGGCTTGCTATGGGGCTCCTCACTCGGATTCACTGTCGTTTTGACTCGGAGAAGAAGGTGTCTCTGGAGGAAGAGATCAGGAGATTCAGCCTGAAGGAGGCCTTCACGGAGCTCCATCGCGCGTGGCTTAGCATTCGGTCTGAGACGTTTGCCCGCAGCTGGATTCTTCTTCAGGATGAAGACCTACCGTCGGCGTTGAACGCAAGGTTCAAGGATGATCAGATGATTGCTCATCTCTGTCAGCTTGCTGGTGATGTTGGGGTTGAGGCAGGTGATATCGACGTGCAGGAGTGGATCTCTGATGATGAGAGTGCAATAGCGAAACGGGTGAAGAAGAGTGATACTGAGGTGGAGGAGGATCTTGATGAGAGTGATGCTGGGGTCGATGTGCCCGCTGCTGATGAGGCGGTTCGCCTTCTCTCCCGGGTACTTCTGTGGATGGAAAGGGCACCCCTCGACCCCGGACTACTTCTTGCCGTCAGATCGATCCGAGATGTCGCTTCTGTCATGGTAAGGCAACTGATGTGACCTCTTCGCGCACACCATTTCACTCGACGCTGGGGATCTACTTTGTCTCCCCTTCACCGAATTTAGCCAATTTGGTACTTGCTATTCAGACTGGGGTGGGGTAAAGGGTGCCGATACTATCTTGAAAAAACCGCAATTCCCGGAACGTTTGGGAATAAAACACGAACGATCGTCAAGAGTCTTCAGAAGGAATTGGATGAGGGGTCGAACACTTGGTTTTCAATAGATCTTTAGGGGGAACATTCGGTTTTACGCTCCAACTTGATTTTTAGGTGTTTATTTTATCTCTATCGAATGAAATATTTTATCATCACCACTCTATCGATGAGTCAACACGACCGGGTACCGAGACAGTACCCTAAATTTTCCAGACTAATCAGTAAAATTTACTGACCGTCACTTATATTAAGATATCATATGATTTTGAGATAAAGATGATTGAAATCATTCTTCTTCCTGCTCCATAATTAACGCACATGATTTTCCAATTGTTTCAGGCGAGTAAAATGGGCCTTGCTGGTACCCATCCGAGTGGATTACCTGCGTTCTTCTGTCCAAATGGTGAACACCTGACCCAACCACCGCCCGCACATATGGGAATTCCGCCTTACGGAGCGCTGGACGCGGGCAAGGCGGCAGCGGCGGCTGGTGAGTACTGGCCACCATCATCCCACGGCTCACCCACACATACCGCAAACTGGAAGCGACTTCTAGCAGCAGCAGCTTCCACAGGTCAGCCACATGATACCGCCCAATTACTCGATAATTCACAAAAAAAAAAAAGAATCCACACATTGTCTCAATCGATTTAAGGTATTATCTAAGCCTCGAAGTGAGATTACGTTACCAAATCGTGTTCATCAAACCTAATCGATGATCATCTGGTTTTACTCGATAATATCTCAATTTCATTGATGCCTTCAAGATGGAAATTCACCGGCAGTGGTAAATTAGAATATTATTGGATGTATCCCGATGATTAGAAAACGCCAGTTGTGCTATTGTCCGTGACAATAAATTCTTGTCAATTATCCTCATGCGACAATTGAATGGTATTGCCCGAAGATATTGTTCAATCACTATTTTTATCGCCGTTGGATCGATTTCAGCGATTTTCGTCAGTTTTCGTGCACCACCCAATCTAGCGTGTGCCTTTTTCGTTAATTATATTCACTTATTGATTGAAGTAAATTGTTGGCCGAACGCTGAGCTCGTGGCTTAGATAATACCTTAAGCACATTTTAATATTAATGGGTGGTGGTGGCGACGACTCAGGTGGAGGTTGCTCTGATACTTTGACTCAAACATCACCCAATATTTTCAACATCCTCCAACATCTCCACGCCTCATCTACTCCCCTCTCCACCGCTTAAAACATGAAAATGAAACATGAATATTAACTATTCTGGAGTGAAAATAAATCGACTAGCTCGAGTCGTATCCTCTCGACTTATGCGGAATAATATCCGTTTGAGCTCGAGAGTCCGGGGGGTTGAGTGAATTTAAATATTGATATTTTTATGATCCTAATGATTGGAGGGATATTTCTTACCGAGTCAAGTACACAGCATTTACCAGAGGGAGACATTCAACTTCATACTGGAAAAGAGGCTGGCGTTCAAGTAGAAGTATGAGAGAAGAGCCAACCATTAGGCTAATCAGTGAAGCGTACGAGTCTCCCCTTTGCATTCAGGTCAAAGAGATTCGGATCTCCCAATCCTCCCTTCGTTCCGCTTTTTTTTGGATAAAATATCTTCACTGTTCACTACCTTTCCTTCATTTTATCAGTAGAAATGTCGTGCATGGGGAAAACCTCTGGACTATCACTCTCGAATTAGAATATTGGTGTATCTTAATCGAATATTCTTTATTCATCACAATAATACAATCGAATAATAATTCAATATCCACAAACTGTCGTTTTGAATCGAATTGATCTGCTCTCAGACGATTTTTTGACTTGACTCTAGTCATGTTCGGGTTAATTTGTCGACTTAATTAAAAATTTACTGGAATCAAACCCTTTTTTTTGTAAGTTAACAATTTTTAATTTCCAAATGACTCTATTGTATTATTGACATTTTAAAAAATGAATTCAGTCGTACATTTTCTCCCTCTTTAGTTTTCAGTTCATAATATGTCAACGCGGAATTGTTGCTTTATCCTGAAAATAAGCTCCATCGTTTCTTTACATCCGTAGCTCCATCAATGTACATCACCCTCTTGCCATTCACATTAAGCTCCCAGTATTGCACTCTTTCGCCAACTCTCGTGCTTCCTTTCACCTTTTTCACTCGAAAGACTTGTAATTACCACTTTTCAATTTACGGTGGGTTATTGCGAATACTCTTAAGAGTTTTACCGAGAATTTTAATAAAAAAACATTTTGTTTTCAACGATGATCCGGTGAATAGAGTGCTAACGGATTTGCCCCTTTAAATTATTGAATTCACGGGGTTAAATACCGCGGGGCGGCGCTTCGGGGGTTGCAAGAGTCGGTATTAATTATGGAGACGCAGTTTTTCTTTGTGTCAGGCGGTTGTCGTGGTATTACCGTAGAATTCTCGAAGATTAAAACCAAAAACAATGCGTGAGAACTTTTTTGTTCTGAAGATCTTCTAAAAATTCTCAGGACAATCTTTGAGATAATTAGTAGAAGATGTTCTTAGCGATGAAAAAGTATTCTTTTGAAGCTTTTTTCCTTGAGAACTTCCGAAGACAGTCTTTTCGAGAAAGTCTTCAAGGCTCAGTAGACCACTCCATTTGAAAACTGAAATAAGATTCGGAAATATCTTTCAAATATCCCTCTCAAATCTTCAGAAGGATTTCCATAAAATTCTGTAATTTCTCCGATAATAAAATAGTTTCAGGTCAAAGTTGTCCGATAATTTGGTCTCCATCAATTTTCGCGATGATTATCAAACTTTCACAATTTTCGAAATTTTGCTACGACATTATTTTGCTGGTGACGGATCAGTTTCATCTTACGATCAATTCGAGATAATTCGAGATAATTCGAGATCGATTTCCTTTCTCCTGTTTTATATTAGGATTCCTCTGAAGTCACTCGGTGGATGTTCGAAGGACAAATTTTTTTTTAAACACGACCACCAAAACATCTTACGCATTGGAGTCCACTGAGGGAGTGGACTCGTGATGGGCACTCCTTGTGAACCGCGCACAATTACAGGGTAACTAGTTCCACTTGGCTAGGTCAGTTAAATGGCATGCTGAATGCAAATAACGAGACAAGAGCGCACCGTTACACGTAGACGTGTACTAATACGCCAGGGCGTGCCACAACCCTGGTTTGTTAAAACGATTCGCGTGTTAGACCGCATCGATATTGAAGTTTTCATGCTCGTATGAGTTCCTTCCACTCGGCATTTCAAATTATTCCCTTTTATGGGTGAGACATACCACAAGCTATTGCACCAACCTGTTGGGATTTTTCGTTGGATTTTTCAATTCCTTGGAATTTATTTATTTGTTTCAATCATATTCACTTCCGAAGAAGCGAAGACTAGCTCATTCAGCTATTGCGTAAGTTTTCGCGGAATTTTGCAAAATTTTTCGGAATCTGAGGGAGATACGGAATTTTTCATAGGACCATTTTTACAGCTCTCAGGTGATTCTAGAAAAATGGTCATAAGAAAAATTTTTCTATCTTTGGTAGATTCAGAGATATAGGGTGTTATCTCTTTATTTCCGAATTCCTGGTAATGATTTTAATTCGCCATTTTCAAGAAAATCTTAATGACGAGGATTTTAATTCAATTTCGAGTGAAATCGCCCGTCAGAATAAATTGAATTAATTTTTTTATTGTTGTGCCATCCTCAGATTTAATTAACTTTTATTATTATCAAAAATTTTTCGCCCACAAAATTCCAACGAAATTTTTCCATCGGTAAAATAAAATCCAAATTTTTGTCCTCGAAATGTCAGAAGCAATTCCCAACAAGCGCCATTGCAATTGCGGAACAATTAAAAGTTCACCGCGTGATATTTATCAACAACAACCGGAAAATGTAGAGCGATAGAATGATAAATCCTCGTATTTTCGATCGGCGGAGGCGTTTGCGTATTTCTGAAATGATTCAATGCATAACAAGATCCCACCGTACACGATAATTGCATTAGTCGGTATTTGTTATTAATTCACTCATGTGCGACACAGCGACACATTGAGATAGTCTAGCGAGTCTGTTTGATTGCGAATTGATAGGAATGAAAATGGAAATTGAATTTCTGAATTCAGATGATGAAAATAAAATGTGTAACAGTGCATTATGTTTCACACACAGAGATAATTATTGCGTGCTGACCAGTGATAATTATTAGCTTACGATAGGAGATACACATTATCACTCGAAGTTATGGACACTTCTCGCACTTATTTTCCTCGGCGTTTCACTTTTATTTGGACTGAGTCTCGATATTATCGGTATCAACTCGGCATATTCAAGCGCGCATATTCCTCCGGATAAATTGCCGGGCTAATGTATTCATACATCCACTGGAGATATTGATACACGGTAATTGCATTAGGTTGACGCGGTTGTTTCACTGGTTTTGGATATTGAAACAAGCTAGACACGTGGCAGACCGGTACCCCCCGAGGGTGATAATGAATCCCGCTGCGCTCAACTAGGCGTATCCGTTTGACGTGAATTCACGTGATCATCTTCAGTGAAAAAGGGCTAATCCAATCTACCGGAGAGAAATTCAATGAAAGTTATCCGTTCAAATTATTCCTCAATTGAAAATATCAATATGATTCGGGAATACATATTTCCAATACATATTTCAATTCTGAATTCGGGAATAGATATTTTCATTCGAGAATATAAATTCCCAAATTCATATTATCGAATCGAGAATTCAGATCTCTTTGAAAATGACTTGGAAAATCTTTCCGTTATTTTTAACAATCAATCTATTTTTAATTGAGAAACAACTAGGGTAAATAATTGAAGTACATAATTAGTTATCAGTTCATTCACTCCAGATGCTTTTTAAAAAATAATGTATCATCGAATAATAATTCGTAAAAATGATAAGAATTTTCATTCGCGAATATGATCGAGACTTCCTTAATTTCTTATCCGATTTCCTTCGGTTCGACCGATCTCCGAGGAATTTCCGTCGATCTCGATTAATGCTTCCGGTCCTGCGTCCGTTGAACGTTAACGACGAGATCTAATAAACCGAAATGGATAAAGAAGGAAATAATGTGCGGAAGGTATCCCGTGAAAAAGCGAAAAAAATAAAATCACCGAGTATCGGTGAAATATAGTAAGACCGGATCTATCTCAGTCTCGAGTTTGTTCGGGGGAATAAAAGAGTAATTTTCCGGGTGGTGAAACGCCGATAATGGGGTTGCAGGCTGCCGAGTCGACTGGAAAGTGATTAAGCACACATGACAGAGTCTGCGGACTCGCCAGGATATTACGAACCCGCTCCTATGGACTCCCTCCTCCGTTTCCTCTCGTGTATCCTCTCGTCGAGCTCTACCCCTTGTTCGCCCGCTGTCTGAGGATCTTTTCCTCGCTCCTTCAGAGAAAAAAAGTGAAAAAACTTGATCGACTGAGGGGAAATGCGCGAGGAACAATACTGCACCGGACGTGATGTCCCCACTTGCGTGGATTATCCACGAAAAAAAATTCTAGATCACGTCAAAAAATCAATCTAACTCAAATCACTCAATATCAGTCCGCCGTAAGTCCCCAAGAATCCAAAATGCTCAAAAACCTGAATTTAATTTCGAACGCTCTGGATTTTAATCCCAATCTACAATAATTAAATAAAACAATATTAAATATACGATAATTGTGGGTTAGCGATTAAATTAATTCCACGGTTTTGATAATAATGATTATTCTCAGCCATTAGACACTATTGTTCGGATTTTCACTTGATACATGCGCATGTAATACGCGTCCTGTAGTACATACCCACCCCATTCGTTAGGTCTTTACGAAGCCAATTATTTACTCCGCTAAAGGCTCACGCACGTTTTCCACCAGTTTAGTCCATACAGCAGCTACAAGCCGCACCCCTTTGACACGTAATACGCACCCCAGCAACACGTCGGTAACGTATGCTCGGAGTATCGGTCTCAAACCGTGACACAGGTCTTGATAAATCCCCGAGTGAAATTCGGTAGCAGGTGATATTGTTTCAAAGGGCATTTTCACTTTTTCCTCTGTCATTCTTATTTCGTTAATTCCACCCTCATTTTGTTATTCTCCATCTGGTCGAATATTTGCTCAACTTTTCAGGTACTTTTTGAATGGAAATACACATTCTTCTCCTTTTACAACACATTTGAACATTTTTCTCTCATCTCTCGTTCCTGTTCTATTTTTTTTTCGTGATCTTGACTTATCCTTTGTAGTATAAATCGTTGAATTAAGTTAATCATGGGAAATCTTTCCTTGTTGAGTGGTTAATAATTTAGTAATTAATAAATATAATTATGAATTTGATAGTTTAAAGAGGCGTAAGGGAATTTGAAATTTTTGTTGTATTATTTCTGTCTGGACATGTAAGAATTTTTATTGGAATTCTCACTTGGAGAATATATATTTATTTTTAATTTATTTTTCATTTGCCGGGTGAAATTCATGAAAAATGTTAATTTCGGTTGAATTATTCCTTTGAAATTCAATGAAAATAGGAAAAATTCTGAATTCACGAATTGAAAATCAATAAAATAGAGAAAATACTCTGGAATTCATTGAGAATTTATTTATTTTCAGGTCTGACCAGAGCACCAATGTACCCATTCTCCACAGGCCAATATCCGTACCCGATGCTGAGCCCAGAAATGACACAAGTAGCTGCGTCTTGGTGAGTCCAACATTCAACTCCAATATTAACTGATTTTTCAAATTATATCAAAATTTTTGTGAGAACCTTTTTTCTAGCTCTCAATGAACTTTACAAAAAAGGTTCTCACAGAAATATCACTATTTCCATTAGATTCAGACTTAAATTCGATTTAGCAAAAGATCAACTTATCCTTCGTTTAGATAATAAATGACTTTCCGGAAAATATTTCCGTATCTATGAGAGATAGCTAAATTTTTATTTAGACCTTTTCCCTAGCTCTCGACCTGCTCTACAAAAAAGGTCCTGATGACGATTTCGATATTTCCCTTAGATTCCGAGGAACAGGACGCGTTATCCGTTACCTCTTCACTAGTGAAATAATAAATCACGAATAGAGACCTCACCCCATGGTATGGACACTGGTCCAACCTGTCCTCTCAGTTCCAGTCTATTAGACCGAATACACCCTCTTGCGTGGAGATTCAGTTAGAAAACTCCATGTTCTTTCTTGTTATTTGCTTTCTGCCTGAATCACCCTAAATTGAGATTTTTCATGGATGATTAGTTCTCCTTCCCTCAATTAGGAGGGTAAGTTGGCCTTCTGCGGTGGTTTAAAAAAAAAGTGGAGAAAGAGACGAGGGAAAAAACGGATGAGGGCCTCTCGAAATTGCACAATTATCAAAACCACAATGGCGTTGTAAAACTATACGTGTTTCACGTGTAACTTCTAAAAAGCCCTGCCTCCTTAGGGATAAGTGCCATTCTCGTAATTTTTTTTTTCAAGTTTTTGAGAGAGATGAAATGAGATAAAATGCTTTCAGGCACACACCGAGCATGTATCCCATTTCACCGGCTAGTGCAGGCTTCAGGAGTCCATATCCCACGAGTTTACCCATCACAAGTTCCAGCTTACCGAGGTACGTTGTGTTTATTCGCTTTGAAAAATTATCAACTTTGAATTCCCTTTAATGAAAATAAAGTGGATTTTTTTTTTATTTTCATTGAAGTCGTTCTCTGAAAATTCTAAAAATTCACTTCCGATCGTTTTCTCAGTTTGAATACTTTGGATTACCTTTTGCAGCGATCTCTATCGGTTTTCACCGACTGGCCTGATGCCACCTCATCCTGGACTGAGTCCGCATGCACATGCGCTGGCATCCCATGCGCTCGTTTCATCAGCACCGAAAGCGGATCACTCAACCTTGGATCACAATCACAGGTGAGTGTAAACCTCAATTTATCTCTGCATATTTTAATAACCGATCTACCCGAAAATAAAAATAAAAACGTCAGCGTAAAACGCAATCCGTCATGCGTCTCATTCTCTCACGCTCGACGTGTCCCAATTAACGAACTTTAACTCCTACGAAGAGGGAAAAATTCACCCCGACCTGTTGGTAGTAGGTGCGCGAAGGAAATTAAAATCTTTAACGTCTTCGTATGAATTTATATTCGCAATTAATTAATTGATCAGTGACTGCGGGAATTTATACGGAATTTAATTGTGGAAAAAAATCGAATTTTAAGAGAAAATTTATTCCATTCATTTCCCGATTTTTCATTGATTTTCCACTATTTAAAATGTCAACAGAAAATCCCGCAGAAGATTTTCTTTGAATTTTTATTAAAACATATTAAACCCTATTGAATCTCAAAATTTCTTCAAAAACCCCCCGAAATCGCCAAAAATTTGATCTCACCCTAAAAATCGTCTCAAAACCCCAGTCCACCTGCCGTCAACCCCCAAAACCTTTCCCCCAAAAAAACCCACCCCATTTTCTCATTAACATCAGTCGGATGCCATCAGCCGATAAGACATACCCCCGATAAAGAAGCACTTACAACTATTAACCCCGAATCCCCTAGTTTCATCCTCTGCCACAGGGGGTAGCACCTTCCAGCCACCCCAACCCCTGAAACAGGGGAGAAACACTTATCGAATGGCAACAGCAGAACCACAGAGCGTCTGCGCTTCGTTTTCTCTATGTATTGATCATTACCCTTTCAACAGATTTATAATTTGCATTAGCACTCAACCGAGTATATCACTATTGTTCCACCCTCACCCCCTAGACTCCCGACTATTTCCCCCCCATCCCCCGCCATCCCCCGATTCCACCCCAATGATAGCAAAATAGAAAGAAAAAATGCCCCAAAAAGCCCAAACAAAACTCGTACAACTTGATATTCAAAAAAAATTACTCCCATTCGCCATTATGATGACTGTCGAATCGGAAAAGAGGGGCTCAGTCTAGGGGTGTGCTGGTATTACAATGTTGTCCGCATCCATAACGCGCAGTAACGCTCGTCAGTTCGCGGAATCTACCACGCGAGAATTTTTCAACCCCCCGAACAAATCCCAAATAAACAGTGGGAATTAACCGAAATTAATCCCCCAAAACTAGCGCGTGGAGCCAACGATTTGAATAATCCGAAAAAAAAAGAAAAAAAAAGATCGCCAAACGGATACGATGAAGTCAGCCGATTTCGACACTCCCACGCAGTTAAATCGTATCCGTTGGAGTAAATAAATAAATAATTGATAATGAAGGATTGGATGGGGAGTGGGTGGGGAGTGGGTGGATTTTTGTGGGCATCTGTAGAGCAATATGTTTCGAGGGGGGTTGAATATTGGGGGTGAGGGTTATTCATCGATGAAGTGACGTTGGTCCAAGTGACAGCCCTGGTATAAAAGCGACAGCAGCGCCACAGGACCCGCCAAAAAAAATGAGATTTTCACTCATACCCCTCTAACAGGAATTATACATTGGTAGGGCACAGAGAGATGTAGTTGTAGGAGCCATGAATTGCAATGATGGCTTGTGCATCCCATCCCCCCCCAACATCGGGATAATCAATCGTAACACCGCCTGGTGATTCCGCGCCTCACGACCAAATCCCACTCAAGACAAAAGATACTGACCCATGGAATAATATCATAACCAGGATAATCCAGTATCTTGTTTTAGGAGAATAATATTACAATATAATATATGGCGGTGGAGCCATTAAAATTTGTGAAAGAGGTGGGATAGTGGTGGTTCATCCGTTTCCGGGATTATGAATTCGACTGATGATTTTTCACTAGTTTTAGTCATTAGGATCACAATGATATTTTGATTTAATAGCACGTGAATAATGATATGAATTTGGTGAATCGTCGTGGTAATGAGTGGTGCTTTATTGATGTCTTCGACAATGTCTAGGCTGTGATCGGGGTTAAATAGTCAGAAATTAGGAATTTTAATGAGGTGTCGGGAAATTGGCAAGGGGTAAGGTGTATTTTGAGTGGCGATGGAGTCCGAGTGTTTAGAGCCTCTGAATCTCGTTATAAAGAAGGATAACGGTGGTGAGGACATAAGTGGAGATTTGAGTGGTAAAATTGATGAGGAAAAAACGGACTCTGGGGTCGCCGAATTGGCCATCTTGCAGGAGTCCAGTGAAACTGGTGATAATAGTCAGCCTATCAATGATCAGAAAATATTGACAGCACTTCATATGAGTAATCTCATGCAGATGTCTAATATGAATTTACCGAGGGGAATTAGTCCACCTCCTTATGGCTCGCAGTATTATTTTATGCAACTTTTGGCGATGGTTGAGGCACAGCAGATAATGTGTCAACAGATGAATTGGTCCGTCCCACAGCACTTTATCAGGAATCCATTGAGATTACCACAGCCATATTTTGATGGTCCTACCATTAATATTACTGAACAATTGTGTCATTCGCCCAATACAACGTCGGCTTATACTCTACCCAATGCCAAACGCGAGTCCATTAATCATGAGACTAAACAGTCCCACTCCAAACGGTATTAATGTTTATTTGCACTCAATTTTTCCTTTCATCGTGTGGGTGTTATTAATTTATATTTTTTTTTGTTCTAGGTCTTCGATAGATCAGAAAAACTCCACCTCGTTAGCGTCGGACAACACAAAAACACAGGACACTGGACAGCAGAATAATCAAGGTAATTACCGGAGCAGAGAAAAATTGGGCATTTTTGGGGGTTCCGTTTTGGGGGTTCAATTTTTGAGTTGATACGTTGCACGGATCAAATAACATGAATTTTCATTAATTTCTCTGGATTTTGAAGATTTTTATGGAATTGTCAATGCAATTATGAATTCTTATGAATTTTTCCATGCAATTATGAATTTTCAATAACTAAAAAGCCCCTGAGAAGTCTGTCATAAATCTATCTATTAAAATCTACATATTTATTAAAAATTTCTCCAACTTGTACTTGTACCAGAATTTTCAATTGAAAATTTTTTATTGTGTCATTATACGGCGACACTTCGAAAAATATCTCTGCACCTAACCGGTATAGCGAAATTTTGCTCAGAACATTTTTTACAGAACAAAAGGAGAGGTATACAAAAGGTTTTAACAAAAATATCGCTATCTCCTCCAGACTCAGAGATATCCTTCGAAAACTCAGTCATTCACCAAATCAACTTGTTCCCCCGTCTCTTATTTTCGTAATTCAATAATCAGTTCAATGAAAATTTTGTCAATCGATTAATCACAGGATACTTCACTTTTCATTAACCCATTTATAACAGAATCGCCAATTGTCGTCATAATGTTAATGACTCTCGGAAATTCGTAAAAATAAAAGGTCAACCCTTGAAAATCGAAACCATTTTTTCTCTGCGATTCGGTGGGAAACGTTTTGCGTTTCACCTATTGATAACTGAGCAATGCCGATAAATTTAACTACATCATCAATATTTTCACGAACAGATAAAAAGAAGCCTCATATAAAAAAGCCTTTAAACGCGTTTATGCTGTACATGAAGGAAATGAGAGCAAAAGTTGTGGCAGAGTGTACCTTAAAAGAGAGTGCTGCGATCAACCAAATCCTCGGAAGGCGGGTGAGTAATTCCTCCGAAACTCATCACCTCTTATTCTCTGAATCCAATCGAATAATGATTCTCCCACTGCTGTGAAAAAAATGTTCAATCAATGGGGGAATCATCGCAGGAGTCGAGATCCATTTCATTCCATTCCACAATTAACGAGAGATCCCAGCGAAATATTAATCTTCACGAGAATTCAAAATTCAACGATTTATGATGACATATTCAAGTTCTAGAAACAATGACTATCAATTTTACCCCATATAACTGTTTTTTATTATTCTTATCACTAGAATTTTCTATCCAGAATTTTTTATTGCGCAAAATTATAATTACAACATTTTTCATCCGATTTTTCGAGCTTTAAAATCACCGAAGTCCCGCGACTTTACTCCCATTAATATTTGTCTTTCTTAGAAATGATGATTTTCAACGGAAACCTTCACGAACTATTTTCCAGTCGATCGAATTTATTTTAGAATATTTTTAACTCAAGATCTGTTAAATCCATCTCCATCAACGAAAACTGTAGCTCACTCGAAAAATTCCATTATAAAATTCTATCGCATTCCTGTCAAACCCACGATTCCCAAAAATCGCATTCATTTTTAAAATAGATTCTTATTAATATAATAAAAACACCGGAAGATTTTCAAAACCCACTCGGAGAATTCAGTGAAAAATTGAATTCTCCATTTCCCCAATTACCGATTCATCCCGAAAACTAGCGATTTAATCTACAATCCCCAAGTTTTTTTCCCAGGAAATCTAATTTGACATTTCCCCTGAAATCAATATATTTTTCGATGAATCCGGATTAAAAGTCCAATCCTCCCCCAATTCCCTTAAAAAAAAATCGGCTGTTCCTAGGACTCCCCTCACCCCAAAAAAATCCTAATCTCGACTCCTGCCTAAAAAGCCAGTGCATGCCTAATGCTTGTGAATAGATAACGCTTCACTATACTATTAACAAAATAACTAGAATCAAAAAGAAAAAAGATATGTATTCTAGAAAAATAGAGCATTGGTAGGTGGGATCTAAGGAATCTATGAGGAAAATAAATCCGAGAAGATGAAAACTAGCTGATGAAAAAAAAAAACAGTAAATAAATGAAATAGAAAAAAAAAAGAACGATAACGACGATAGATAGGGGTCCGCGTGCTGGTGGGTGGGCAGGGGGTGTTGCAATAATCAACTTTAAAAAGTCTCAACACTCTTAACGAGTTATAAAGACTTGAATGGTTAATTGAAGAGATCAAAGCACGGTGCACGAGAATAATTGAGACATTGAAAATATGAACGTTTTGGGGCATATTACATGCAGTGGCATTCGCTAAGCCGAGAGGAGCAGGCGCGGTATTATGAGGCTGCCAGGCAGGAGCGCCACCTTCACCAGCAACGATATCCCGGGTGGAGTGCCAGGGATAACTACGGATACGGCAGCAAGAAGAAGAAGAGGAAGAAAGAGCGATCCGCAGATCCCACCGGAGGTACCACTTTCCAGTGCTAGAACAGCAGGCCCTTAAAATAATTCATTACTGATAATTAGTACCTATATTGGTTGGATTGAAACGATCAAAGTCTCTGCGTTTTTTGTTCTCTCATTTTCTCATTTATTTTTTTGTTTTTTAATTTTTTTTTTTAACATACATATATTTTTGGTCAATTTTTTTTTTGTTAATTTTTTTTTTTTTTCATTTGACTTGTCAATTTTTTGGTTCATTTTTTGTCTCGTTTTTTCTCGTTTATCGTTCCTTCTTTGATGAGCGGATATTAATTTTTCAATTGGATTGGATTGTCTGTGGGAATCATGGAATGATGTGGGATGCAAGAAAAAAATGGATCTTGTAGTGAAAAATGGAATCGTGGTAATTGTTATGGCCAACTCCCTAAAGCGGTAGTCAACGGATATTTGTGTGATCGAAGGAGTTACTAAATTTGGTACTGGCTGTCTGCGGTTATATGCTACAGACAACCTGTATGAATAGGTACAGAATACTGTTTAGTGTGATATTTGTGCAACCGAGGGGGGCAATAGGCTGTTCTTCTAGCACTTTAAACGGAAAGTAGGGACCCCCAAATATAATGTTTAAACAAAATGCTTTCTTTTTCCTCTTCCATTTACGAATGATTATCAGAATCGATAAGTATTAGTGATGCTGTAGAGACTGGCCGAGAATTCTTCTGGAAAAATCATCGCGGGGTAAATAAATCGTCGGAATTTTCACCGTTTTTATCAATTGCATTCACGAGACGAGACGAGACTGACACGAGATAATGTTTCAATCCGTTGGTGAAAAAAAAAAAATCAGCAATTTGGGTATACTTCATTCAAGCAGCAAGCACAGCAGCCAATCTGTCAAAGTTTTCGGATTATTCTAGATTTCGAATGCTACACTGCTTTATGAAAAAATTAGTCCAGTTTTATACTTGACTCGAGTAGAAAACCCGGGGTGATTGCATTTGGAAAATCGACTTGATTCAAGTATAGGAAAAATATTCAATGGGTTTGAAATATATATATATTTGAAATATAAATATAGTTCCTCGACTTAAAATTCAATCCTATTATATCAAGTTGGAACTCCGACTTGAATCGAGAATTAAATTTGAATATTTCGGGTGATATTATCGATATTTAAAAGGTTTTTTTAAAAATGAGAATTACCACATCCTTGACAAATAAAAAAACAGATGTTTATTTACATCGTGATGATATTTCCACAAGAATTCATGTTCAATCCTGATGGCATCACTAAAAAGTATTCATTGACATGATGAAAATATGATTCCTAGATGACCTAACTTTTGAGTAATGGCAAAGGGTGGCGGCAAGTAGAATAGTGAAACAAATCAGAAAGAGAATTTTGTTAATTTTTCCAATAATTTTTCTTGAAATAATCCTATTGTTTTACGTCAGGGTTTTTGATCTATGAAAAATGACAAAAAGTGTTTGGTTGTTCTATCGGTAGTGGCACGCGCTAGGGCGAGAGGAACAGGCCAAGTATTATGAATTGGCGAGACGTGAGAGACAGTTGCACATGCAGCTGTACCCTGACTGGTCTTCCCGCGCAAATACCAACCGAACTAAGAAGAGGAAGCGCAAACAAGACACAAACAGTGATCCTGGAGGTACCCACATGCCTCATTCCACACATTCTTACAGTCGAAAAGAAAAAAGAAAGATAAAACAAAAAAATCCATCAAAAACCACCAAAAAACAACACTGTTAGAAATTTATTGAAATATCAATAATTATTCCATTAATTTTCTTTAACGATCATAACGATCACTTCGTTTCTCTGTTGTCTTGAAAATTCAAGGAAATTTACATTTTTTCCGATTACCATTCATGATTTTTCAATCGTAACTTGAATTTTCAAACTTCGTGAAAATTTGATAACGGATGATCGGTAGCGAAGACGGAAAGGGGGTCGAGTCCATTCTTTATTAAAAATAGTTTATCAATTGAATCGATTCTTGAAATTATGAGGAAGTAATTGTTTATTCAATACCTTTTTAACAATATAATTGAAGGGATTGTCGCACTAAAAATAAGTCAGTGAATATATTTCTCTTAGAAATCAATAGCGCTAAATCGATTTAGCTTTTTCCATGCGTAAAATTGAAGTTGATAAAAATTTATTTAGAAATTTTTTAATTCCCTAAATTCACATTTTTCGACTTCACCCCTTTTACCGATTCACTAGTGCAATTTAATTTTCAATAGAGTGAAAATTCCGGGAAATAATTGCTTAAATTTCCAACAATTTCAAGGTTTTCCAAGAAATTAACTGATTTTTAAATGAGTAATTATTCAGAATATTTGGTGTCAGTCCGTTAAAAATTTGCCATTTTTTCACTTGACATTTCAATTGTTAATTTTCTAACAGTGCACTCAATCACCCCAAAACCCTCACACCTTTTCTCCAATGTTAAACTATTATTATTACATAACTATTGCTACACTACGTTATTATGTTGCATGTTTTCCCGTCTTGGGGGCCTCTCGGTCAGATATTATTACACTGAATTCGTACAGACATATGTGTATTTTTTTTTTAATTTTTTTCTCTTTGTTATCGTATATTTATCCGTGCGCGCTCGTGTTTGCATGCGTTACATGTGGACACGCGCACGCACGTACTATCATTTATTATATTCATACAGGACACGCATATGTATACATTGAGGTGTATATATATGGAGATTTTGTATGGGTATATTGGTTTTCAAGGGGTGATACAACTTTGGGGAACGCTGGCCATCTTGCATTTTTACAGGGACCTAATTCCGCAATCAGACAATCCTCAGCGTTTAGTTTTTTATTAGAGTCTCTTATCCTTGTTGAATTTCAATTTTTTATTATCCTTTGATCGTTTCAATGTTCTCAATCCTCATTTGCCTATTTTTTTTTCTCGAGTTTTGTTGTCTCATTTCGTTTTTGAATTTTTATCTTTTCAATACCTCAGACATTACAACCATTCCCTCGAATACATTTAAACTCCTCGTTTTTTTTTGTTCACTGTACGTAGGTGCTTACACTGTTGGAAAATTTTTGAGGAACACTTTGACGAGATTTTTTGGGTTTTCGGGGCAGGGGACATGTCGCCCCGTGGAAAAATATATATAGTGCAGGCCAATTCAATATATTCTTGCGCTATATAGAGAATTTATATAAAATGTACATGAAGTGTGTATGCGATTTGATGTGAAGATAAACGCCATAATCGAAAATTTAGGATCACGAATGGTATTTACTGGAATATTTCATTTCTTTAGATTCAACACTTTAAAATCCAGAATTTCAATGTAAAAAAAAATAACAAATTAATGCTGCTAATAATTTTTAAAGATAAATAAAAGTGAGACTTTATAATTTTTCATAAATTTCGAATTTCCCCAAAAACTATCGATTTACGGTGAAAACGTTAAAGGATTTTTTTGTAACTGTTTGAATTTAAGATAAAAACAATCTTTTGACTTTTTCTTCTTAAACCATTAGTTTTGAAGATAAATCTGAGGAAACGATAAAATTCTAATAATCCAAGGAATATTCGGTGGAATCTGAAATTTCGAGATTTTCCCTGGCTAAATCGAATTCAATTCATCGTCAATTCACCAGATTAATTCAATGGGACTCTCCTGAAAAGACTAGTCATGAGTCCATTAAATTTTTTCTAACAGTGTACATCCAACAATATTTTCAGAAGACATTGCATGGTTTCATCTTTCCAGTGGACGATGAGGGAAATTCTCCGACTCCTCTTCGTTACTGATTCGATGACACTTTTTTTCTTAATGCATGATTCGATCGAACAAGTAGACATTCTCATTTATAGAATACACTGAGAAAGAAAAATTGCATTCAATAAAGAAGATAAAAGAAAATTTTCAAAAATCGCAGAATCTCCCGAAGAATAATTTTGTTTTCACGCTGAAAGAAGAAAAATAAAGGATATCTTCCCCCGAATTCATGCACATATCCGTAATTTTGTTTTTATAACTTCAATAGCATAAAATCATGCGCTAAGATCGCAAAGTCAATTTCCATGGACTTGAATCACTAATCAAAATATTCATTAACAATCGAAGCATTAATTTCTCAGTTGTAGATGAGTAATTACATCAGCAACGAATTAATTGTCAGTGTGAGCGCAAAATAATAAATCAAGAGATTCCACGATTTAAAAAATTAACCAGAGAATCATCTCTTGAAATCTTGTTTATAAAATGTGTTTTTTTTTCAGTGTACAGTCGAATAATGCCATGCACTCAGTTCTGTACAGTGAACAAATTAGTCGTTAGAAAAACCATTTGAATCTCCAATTTTTCTTGCATTACTAATCAATATTCTCCATTCGTAGGTAACAACATGAAGAAGTGTCGTGCTAGGTATGGATTAGACCAGCAAAGTCAATGGTGTAAACCCTGCAGGTACGTTTTCTATTTTTGATCTCGTCGTACCATGAGATAAGGATCCACTCCAGTGTCCTATGATAAAATAATTGTACATTCATAATTAAATTGTTAGTGTCTTAATGAAGTATATGAGGTTAACAGAGGTCCCAAGGGAAATTGCTCACAAATTGATTTCCTACTTGACGTCGTTTCGTCATCCACATAGAAGCATGAATTTTTTAATAGAATAATGAATTTATACAATATGTTATCGTGGAGTAACAGATGATAAACCTGAGGAATTGGCTATCAGAAAATGTGTCTTCCGAAGATAACTGCTAATGGAAAATGAAGAGTGAATGATATTGTCTAGATTTATGACGATAGAATACTGATGCTTGTAAATATTTATCTAGTAATGGAGTGTAGATATTTGCGGAATATCCAGTGTTCATAATGTCTATTTAGCGCAAGTAAATTGAGTCCATTGTAATGCCCAATACGCCCCCACCCATGCGGAGACATTTTTGGGATAAACATTTCGTTTTTTTTTCTTTTTGTCATTATTTGAGTTCATTAAAGGGGCGAGGATCATCTGAAATTGTCCCATCTTATTTTACAACTTGTGATTAGTTTTGCAGGAAATTCAGGTTCGGTTCAAGGTTCGAGGAATTTTCATACTGAGAATTCAAGATTTTTGGGGATATACGGAATTTAGAGGAAAATAGGGGGGAAAATTCTTGAATCTAGTTCTGGTGCGATTGGAATTTCAACGAATCTCGATGGTGGAGTTTAAAATTTTGGGAACCGCGGATATCTCCCTCCAATTCCGCGATATCCGCTAAAAAATAGCTTCGAAAATAAATCGACTTCTAGTTTACCCCGTCTCACCAAAATTGCTTGAATATCCCTAATCCCTCAATTAAATCGATAAAAATTTCCCAGAAATCCGAAAGATTCAAGTAAATGGGCGAAATCCTTGACACTGGGTGTAAGAAGTGAAAAAAATAATTCATTGATTTTCGTTTGGAACTTGAAATTTCGTAGAACTAGTAATGAATATCTTGGAGACATATTTTCTGAAGGAAATGCCGTGGATAGACATGCATGTGGCTGACGAAATGTACTGGGCCCTTAATCAACAATATTTAGGTTCCCGGACTTACCATTAAAATTCGCCCGGAATAAAATTCCCCGTGAAAATTTCCCCAGCGAAAATTACCCCTAATGTATCATCATTAAAAAAAAAACTATATTCATTCTTCATCAATTATTCGGCATTATAAACACAATATGCCTTTCACATAATTTACAACAACATTTTAATAATTGTAAATGACAGGATCGAGCGTTGGATTGTAGTCATCAATCGTCACCCATTTCAATAATGACAGCCATTCGATTTAAAGCTCAATGGAAAATTGTCGGGCGATAATGAATTTCAGGAGAAATATCTCATGGAGAGTTTCTCTCCGGGTGAATTGATCCTGGGGCGTATTTTCATGGGTTAATTTTTGTCGGGGAAATTTTCTCTGGGGAAAATTTTCAGTCGTATGAAAAAGAATAAAGATGAAGTAAATGAAATATATGAAAAATATGAAAAATATGAAAAATATAAAAAATATGAAAAATGTGGATGGGAGCGCCCCTTTAATGGCTGGTGGTGGTTGGTTTTGGCAGCCCGGTGGAGCATGGAGCGGGGATGGGCATCCACGCGAGCATAATCCATCATGGTGTGGGGAATAGTGCGGGATCAGGGGTTGTGGCTGGAGGCGGTGGAGGGACGGTGGGTGCTACCACTGCCCAACCGAACACCAATACTGCCTCCAATGCCTCCTCGCCTCAGCAAGAACCCACTTATGTTAATCTCTAGTCAAGCCTATCGCCTCCCTTCTACTGCAACACTTCTTCTTAAAACAGTGGTCAGTCCCGACTTAAACCAACGGACACTCTAGCTCTCGTGAATGTGCCAATCGCTCATCTACAAGTCTATTCCACATCATTGTTGAGTTTAAATTATTTTTGGTCATTTTTCGGGAAATATCTACCCGCTTTGGCGATTATTTCGTGGATCCATTATTTACAGTCTGAATTTTTGCAGGAAATATCTCGCGACGGGTTTAATATTTTGGGAAATTTTCAAATTTTGTGATTCGATTTTTGAATTTTTAGGACGTATTGAGGGGAGTTCGTTCAATGACAGGAATGATAGATTATTTTTAAATTGTTTGTTAATTATTTCAGTGATTTGAGTGGCATTGTATCATCTTGACGGATATTTATTCATCTCAGCCACACAAAATAAATTGTAATGCAAATTGTTTTTATACAAACTCAGGGATTTCTCTGATTAACTGTTTGAAATCTTAAATAATCAATGAATTTTCAATTTTTTACTCTTCACAAGAATAAAAATAATTGAAAATCCAATGAAATCCTTAACAAATTGATAAAGTGAAACAAATTGAATATCAAAACTCAATTAAAATGTTCAATTCGACATCACACATAAAAATTCACTTCTCGTGTAATAAAAGTGCAAAAAATGTAATAATTAAAAAATTAGCTCCTCTATAAAAAAATAATTCAAACAATAAGAGCCGCGAGAATTTTCCTGCAAATCGCAATTTTTATGGAAATCCACTAGAATTTTCAAATAAAAACGGTAGGTTTTCCCTAAAATTTTCCATACGTTGAATTGAAAAATTTAAATAAATAATGCAAATGGACATATGTTGAGTGACGATGGCATGATACGAGTCGCCAGGTGATGTTCCGATGCTCGCATTGTTTCTCATTGTTGTGGCTCTTTACAGCTTATTATTGTTGTTAATTTATTTATCATCCTCGTTTAGTTTGACGTTTGTTGATCAATGTCGCCCTTAGCATGGCTGATGTAACTATTTATGGATATATTTTTAAATACACAATACATAACAGACTCCGAAGAACTGATTTATCGAAACAAGTTTGATATAGATTTAACTATAATTTTTCGCATGGCAGTTCATCAGTTTACAAGATTGTTGTGGTGTATTTTTATGTGTAATTTACTCGCTACATACCTCTCGCCTACAAAATTCATGGAATCACTTTGAACGTGATGAGGTCTCGGTGATATTGGCTACGGAGAAGAGGTTCCTCTTCGTGTTAATGAAAATTTATAGAAAATCCATCTTTTTCATTCGACATTCGTTGGCAATTCTATTAACTCTTCAATAAAAATCCATTCAATAAATAAAACTGTTCATTATTCATTCATGAAGATATTCTGAATATTTGAATTTTTTTTGGAATAATATTTTTGAATAATTTTGCAAATGAAAAATTCAGAGTAATCATACGATTTTACCGTCAATATATTTTTTAATGAAATTTCATCATTCAAGTGAACAATAAAGAATTAAATGGAGAAAATGAAGAAAAGTTGATAGTTCAGGAATAATAAATAATAAAATTGCATTGAGATATTTTTTTTTTCGTGGAAAATGCAGCGAATAAAGTGAAATTTATGAAAAAAATTCTGGGAAACAGTGAAAAGTTGATAGAATTGTTAAGAATTGAGTAGAATTAAATTGTAAATTTTTCTATGAAATTTCGCACATGTTATTGCGAGCAGCCCGACGCTCTGTATTGTTCCGTGGATAATCCAAAATTATGTTAGCTGAGAGATAAATAATGAGAGCCAATTGCAGAGCGGTAAATGTCTCGACTGCTGTGCACTATGTATACACTAATTAGTGGGACATGTACAGGCCAATCCTTCCATTTATTTTTCATCAGACATTTTAAAACTCATTACGTTTCTACGTCTGATCAATTATCGAGTTCTCCAATCCATGAAATTTCGAACTTGAAGTTTCGAAAGTTCCCCATCGCTATTTAAACTACACAATTTGCTTGCACTCCATTTTTCCATTTTTTTCATTTCATTTTATTTTTACAATCAAGCATGGTATTCGCAGCGAGTGGTTTATCGAATTTATTTACAATTTCAGCATTCGCAGAATGTTGTTTTCATTACGTTCTAAATAGGTAACATTTTTTTAATGAAAATCGGTTAAATTTTTAAATACCGAAACAGACAAACTTCTGCGAATGTTGTTACTTGCTGTAACGTACATCGAGTGAATGCATGAATTTTTAGTTTTTAATTATGGAATAGAGAATAATGGATGGCTGCACGTATGAAAAAATTTCACATTCAATTTTCATTCCGTTGGAAATTCATTTTGTTTGTTGATATTTTTATTGATAATAATGCAAGTTTACAACATAGCTTCAAAAAAACAAAAATATTGTCCAGAAATTTTTTCACACTGACGAGAGTCAGGAGTTGTGCATCTCTCGGTCTCTTTCGTATTGTTTGTATCTTAAAAATAAAAATAATTCTCCACCGTTAATTCGTGATAACTAATCCAACGATTATAACTTCCAGGCGTAAGAAGAAATGTATCAGATACATGGGGGAGGGAGGAGACGGTGATGGTGAGGGTGACGTTGAGGGTGATGACGATCACTCAGAGGACAATCTTGGCAGTGTGGGTGAGGCAGGGACACCCGAGGACGACGAGTCCCTGAGCAGTCCAGGTGGCCTCTCAGGATTGTCTAGTCTAGCGAGTCCCTCTCTGGTGATGCCATCGCCATCGAGTCTAGCAAGTCCTTGTCCCTGTCCCCTGACACCACCAGTGCCAATAGCCCTGGCACAAACGTCAAATCAACCCCAGGCTGGTCCACCCCATCGCAATCCCGTTGGCACAAATCCACACGACATCAACAATCCATTAAGCGTTAATCAATTGACTGGACAGTGTATAAAGAGTGAAGTTGGACAGGGACCATCTGGCCCATCAAACTCCGCCATCAGTGTTACGTAGCCCTGGCCAGCCCCATGTGACAAGACTCTTAAATTCAATGTCATCGGGGTTCACTTATATCTATTCACATTCGGATTCACTGGGTGACCATTTTTTTTTTTCAATTACTGGCCATTGTCCGAATTAATGTCTAAATGTTAATGATCCAGGGGGAGATTCGAAGATTGTAATCATTCATTAATACTCAGGACCAAGTGTCTAGCTGTAAGTCACCCGAACTCATGATGCCAACGTGCAATGGAAAGTGACTGATCATTTTAAACTTTTTTTTTTATTTTAAAACACGAGTAAGTTATTGCATTGTGAAGTGCGAGTGACTTAGCTTGTAGTCCTTCATATGTGAAAGCATTCGATAGAAAAATGTTGGGGGGAATTGGGAATGGTGGGCGAACTCTGGAGATGTTTCGAGGATGCTGGAATTTATTTGGGGAGAATTGGGAAATTTGAGGGAATTATAACGGATTCGAACTCGATTTAATGGGAAAATTTTTATGGAGAAAGGTCTGTAATTTTATTCAATTACTTGATATTTCATGAAACAGGAAAATTCGATTTTTCCTTGACCACTTTACTATTAAATTTAATTTACATTTCAAATGATTATTCAGTATAAAATTCAAGTTTTCCTCAATTTAATCAGGAATTACTGGTAAATTTCTATTAAAATTATGGGTTTCATAGAAACACATGACAGAATTTCAGAAAAAGTCTGAGGAGAAAAGCAGAAAGAACAAAAAATCCATTCTGTCCACCAAATAATCAATGGATGAACAAAAAATTATAAGATTAAACCAATGATTCCCCAGAATTCCAATAAAATCTCAATGGAATTTCCGTAGAGTTTCAAACACTAGGTTTTTCTATAGAATTTTTTCACACGTGTTGTTACATTGTGATGCCCATGACTCAAGTCATGTTCCTGTGCCAGGTACTATATAAAGATAAAGTAATAAAGGAAAACGAAATGAACCACGAGGAAATTTATGATAGCAGATCCCTAAGCTCTAGCGTTTATCATTGATTTCTATTAAACTCTGTATTTCGAGACACGTGTATTGCAATTTGTTATTTTTTTTAAAGTCTATGTAGTCGCGATTAATTAGCCTGTAAGATGATTTTAATAGTTCAAAGTCGTTACTCTTAGTTTTCCCCAATATTATGAAAATCACTAGTTTTCAAGTCGACTGGCCCCCATGCACGTCTCGTTTTTTTATTATCCCATAAGTTCTTTTTCTCCTTATTTTTATTTTTATTTTTTCATTACTTTAACGAGTACTGACTGCGGATCTCCAGGCATTGCTAGGAGTTGATGATTTTTGTTAGTCATCGACTCGTAATACTGCCTTATTTAAGATTATTCGATGAGGAATATTCCAGTAAATAAGTGAGAACAGGTAAATTGTTCTTGGAAAAAAAAATCAGATACTTGATTTATTAAGTCTGCCAAATTTTCTTTATAACAACTATTTTTGTACGAGAAAGTGAAATTTAGGTGACATTTATTCATTGTCTATTATGCATGCTTGTTGATTGTAAATTTTATATTTGATTTATGTTACGAGAAGTGGAAGGGTGAATTTTTTATAATCTTGGCACTGATAAAATTTGTTTGTGTCTTCATTAATATTGTATTATCCCCCTCTTCCCCTCTCCCCACGAATATTGGCGACTGGATTTCGTGAATAATTCCTCAGTGCAATTTTCGTCGATATAATTTGTCAAATTTTTATCTGTTACTTGATTATTATTTCGAACAAATGAAAGACCGAATTATGATGGACTCATGATTACTGTAGGTGATTAAATCATTTGAACAATAAAGTGGAACAGATTTACGATTACATTCCGGTGTAATTATTACACCAGAGGATAATTGAGGTAAAAAATTGAGGTAGGGCTGATGTTTTTTCGTCACTCATTGGGCAGCAGTTTGTGTAAATAAAGAAAATACGTTTAAGATGCATTTATGACGAAATGGGGAAAGTGCAATGAGGTGATAACTGTATGCAAAAATGAGTGGACATTGTATACGTTGGGATAGAATTTCTTGACTGAAGAGATAAAATTATGTAGGGGAATCCCTCTAATTACTTGTAATACGTCACTGAATAGTAAACTGAATGTGCCATACGAACATCATGCCAATATTATTGATAATACGATATTTTTTACCAGTTCAATCCCAGGCTGCACTCTGTCAGTTACAGATTAAATAATGGATTGATTATAGTATTTTTCCAACTCGCAGCATTCGTTCATTTCTATTTCACTCGTCATTTTGTGATAGGAGGATTTCGCTTGGTTAAATGCTGACAGACATGATTGTGAATTTTGGAAGTTATTGAAAACAGGGAAATCAGTGGTCAATTGATGAAGTGAGATAAGGCACTTTAACATTTTTTAATCAACAAAAAAATTATTGTTCATTCATCTTCCTTCAAAAAAAAGTCTTTTCACGTTTCCCTCTGCAATCACTGATGTATGAGATCAATGAATATTTTACAAAACTGAAACTCCACTTATCTCATCTTCTCATTTTCTAACTGAATTTCTTTTTTCCAAGGAATCTATTGGTTTCTCAAAATCAAGGTCTACTAAAAAAATTCCTAAATAATTTTCAATTATAAAGAGTTAGGAAAAAAAAACTTGAAAACGTTATGTAAAAACGCTCAAGAGGATAATTCGGTAGCGACTTGATAAATTGAAAAAAGTCAACTTTTTAACAATGATAATTATCCGTTTATCTCGAAAACGATTCATTTGCGGGAAAAATGGAAAGAAACTTATTTCTGGGCAATTAAATTTCCTACAAAAAATGTTTTCTCACATTTTCTCCAAAAATCAGTGGTTCTTGGGATAAATTGATATCAAAAGAAAGTGAAGTAGAATTTTTTCGACGTATCACTTGGCAACTGCAATGGAGAGTATTAAATTGTATTTAACACCTGTTGTACGACATTGCGATGTGAGTAATGCTGAACCAGATCTCGATAGGTACTGGGGACCAAATTAATAAGGACTGGGCATCACTTGCATCAAACCCTTGGTGACTACGGAGGAATCATTCAGAGAATAAAAATCCTCCATTAAATATGACTGCAGTTAATTTGTTGTACGACAATTGAAATCCACAACAATGGCCTAGGTGAACCATAATCGTTGTGCAAACTCATTGAAGGGGTATAAATATAAATATAAATAAATAAAAAAAAAACGTCATAGGAGCGATAAATATCGATGACAGGGACGCGAGCAATGTTTTTAGTGTTTCATAATACGAACAATTTATCGACAGAGCTCGAATTGTTTCAAGTGCTTGTACCATATTGTAAAGTGAATGATAACGATAATGTCAGTTTTCTGCTGCGTTGTACAGTGTTTTCTAAGTATCTAGTTTATAGACTGTAATAAGTGAGACATTGTATTTACATTTAATAAGTGATCTGTATCAAATTCGAATTCTCGTATAGCCTGTATCCAACTTATTGTAGATGCTGAAAAATCAATTGTGTCATGAATCTACAAATAAAATTAGAAATTTGAGAATGTTGTTCTACTATGACAGAAATTAAACTGCATTTCGTTTTTTATTCCCAATTATCGTTTAAAAATTATAATCCTCTATATTTTTACAGCATTTACCCATAAATATAAAAGCAATCAACCAATAATCATCAATGAATTAAATATAATTTTACGTTTGCAATGAAAAATTGTTTTTAACATCCAGATGCACAACTCTGTTCACTTGCCAAGAATTTGAGATCCAGGATATCAACAGCATTGAGCGTATAAACACTGGGGACTTTATAATTGCAATTACTAACAAAAGCCCGTGCAATCCTCACAATTCTCTCGCACCTGATGACGCAGGCACCCCCAGAGTAATCAGGTCTCCCCTGACTGTTCCTGACAGCTGCATCGACGAGGTAAAATTTTCCACAGTGCTGCATAACAGCAACAGCAAAATTCGGTGTATGTAGAATTCCGGTGCAGTGATGCCTGAAAAATAGCCCCAAGGCCTCGGTGAGATCCTGGACCTGTACAATACCGGCTGCTGTATGCTGATGAATGCTGACGCGAGCCTTGGTATCACCCACGACGAAGCAGGTGAGTAGTTCCGAGGGTGAGAGACACCTGGCGCCAGCCCTGGCGCTCCTCTCACTGTCCCGATGGAGTTCATCCCCCGCTCTGACAATGCTATCGACGATGGCAGGTGTCCAGGTCGATGGCACGTGGAGACCTGCCATCACGATGGCAACAACAGCAATAGCTGTGCTCTGGAATCCCCTCGAGTGCAATCCCCGTTGGAACATGCTGATGTTACCCAGGAGAACACTCACCTCTTCGTCGAGAGGATTGAACTCCCTCGAGGCAATGTTCTCACTGCCTAAGAGTCCAGGAGTCATGCTGCAATCAAAAGCCTGAAACCAACAATAAGGGAATAAATATTCAGCTGTATACAGTATTTAAACAGGCATATTAAATTTAGTTTAGTTAAAAACCCACCGGTGCAGGCAGCCCCTCAATGAGATTCCTCCTGACGATGACTCTGTTAATCCTGTACAGCCCGAATTTTTCTTCCCCCTCGAGGTTCGCCAAGATAACGTCATAGAGAGGCTCGAGGCATGCAAACCACATGACGCAGGCAGTACCCGAGTCGGCGACGAGTCCCCGGTTATCCCTGGATCGCGGGTCAAACATAAAGAAGACACCCTGATCCCTCCAGAGAGCGACTGAGTAATTACCAGTGGTGAGAACTCCCGCGCGATTCCCCTCAAAGAATTTCCCGAGCCCCTCCTCCAGGAAAATAACTGGTGGTGGTGGAGGCGGCGCTCTTTTCTGCTTGCCCTTTTTCTTCTTGGGTTTCGGTGGCTTCTTCTTGGCCTTTCCCTTGCCCTTAACTTCGGGCTCTGGAGGTGGCAGTGCTACCTGGCCCTTCACCGTCTCCACCTCAACGTCGGCAGTCAGGACGTTCTTCCCTATGTGAAATATTCTCACTACCTCCTCCGCCCTGAGCCTACCCTCCCTCCCCCCGAATTTCACACTCTCCTCGTGGAGGCTCGTTCCCACGACGAGAATCTCATCGAGAATTTTCTTCGTCCAGGTTATAGGATCTTTGATGACTCCCATCCCTAGGGCGACGACACAATTTGCAGACGTCTGTTTGTCCCGGATGCCCCAGGGGAAGATCTCGGACCCCTGGTGAGTGCTGCCACTCAAGATCGCCCTGGCGTCACCCTCTAGAGGTTTAAAAGCGTTCAGAGGAGGAAGATTTTTCGGACGAACAGCGACACTGGGGTCGTGCTTCCAGGGTGGCAATTTGTTCCAATCCACCACCTCGACTCCACTGATCTCAAAGTCCCCTTCAGGGAACATCTCCACCAGGTGGGAGGACAGGGACTCCGGACTCGTGAATCGAAGGACTGAGACATTATTCAGCGGCAAGAGATAGTAAAAATATTCCTTGTACTTCCAAAGGGGGATGTGGGTGGAGTTCTGAAGGGTTAACACCCCGCACTGGTGATCCTGGAAGAACTTCTCCACTCCACTGGCCAGATCCGGAACCTTGGGATCCCCTTTAAAAATCGCTCCCGCCTGAACGCAATCGGAGATCATCAGGTTTATTCGACGATTCGATAAGAAGAACTCCGTGATTATGTCGTTTACTCCGGGGTTCTCTCCCTCCCCCAGCCGAGCCGCGGATTTCTCGTAGAGTTTGTTCCCCGTGACGACGACCTCTTCGATGATCTCTGGCGTCCAGTGCTGAGGCTCGTAGATTTTCGAAAATATCGTAGCAACCACTGCGATGCCCGGTGTTTGTTTACCCCTCATATCCTCCGGAAACTTCTCGTCGGTGATCGAGAGCGGCCCTGAGAGTTCCCAGAGGTCTTCTCTCTTCTTCAAGAACCCATGCCACTGGTCCTCGGTGACGGCGTCCGTCTCCTCCGCAATTCTCGACGCGAACTCGTTCTCGAGTTCCACTCCATCGATCAAAAGTTCTTCGTTGGGATTCTGGATGGATTGAAGGAGGCTGGAGGACAGGGAGGGAATCGAGAGGAACCAGGAGACAGAAGCAGTGCTTTTGGGATCGTCTTGACGACTCCTGGGATCCATCGTGAAGAAAACATCACCCTCTTGCCAGATTGGCAGCATCACACGGCCCTGACGAACGATTCCCATGGAGTTCTCGTTGAAAAACTCCTCGAGGACCTGAGGGAGCTCCGACGGAGGGCTCTTCATCTTTTCCTCCTCCAGGTTCAGGGAGAACTTGTTGACACCGATGGAGAATGTGTCTTCAATCTCGGAGGGTCGAAGGTAATCCCTCCGGATCATCTCCTCCCCACCCTCCTCCTCTTCGCCAACCTCCAGGTTCCCAAGGTTCACGAACGTCAGTTGATCTCCGAGCTTCAGGATATCGTCCACCACCTCCTGGTACCACAGGTGCGGGTTATAGAATTGCCTCATCGCCAGGGCCGTAAGGGCGTTCGCCGCCTGCTGCTTGTCTCTCGTTTTTTGTTTAAAAATCGTTACATCCGCCTGATCGAAACTCCCATTTATACACGCACCGTCATCTACTTCTCTGTAATTACATGGAAGAAATAAATTAATTAAAATTACGCGGAGTTCCGTTTGTCAGGGATTGATCAGTGAAAAATTACACAATGAGCCTGAATTTTTACGTGGGAGTTATGTGATTCGGGAGTCGTTTAAAAACTACGGAACGAACCAGAATTCGTATGATTATCAAGAGAAATTGCACAGAACTCGTGTAAAAATTTAGGAACTCCTGCGTAATTTTTATAATATACATAAATCGGACCTATAAGAATTCAGTTCGGGCATGATAGGCGCCTTCATCTCGTTTTCCAGATCCTCGGGGCTGAGAATCTCCCCGATCCCTAGAACTTCAAACCCATGAATAAAGAACTCCGTTCCCTCCGCGTCTGGATCGATCCGCGCTGCGATTACTCTTGCAATTTCCGCAGGATTAACCGCACGGATGACTCTACCTGCAGCCGTCTCCTCCAGGTCCCCGGCATTATCGGAAGTCAGGTTAAAACAGTAATACCCCATGACCTTGGTTTTATCCTTGAGCTCCTCCTCGAACCTCCACACAGGGACCAATACATCCCCGAGTTGCAGGATTCCAAATTGCTTTGTCCTGAAGAACTCAGAGATTCCCTCCACGAGGTTATCCTCCAAAAGGCTCTCAAGCTGTAATTTCTGCACCAGCACGGAGTCCTCCACCTTGACCTGAACCCTCCTGCCCTTCACGAAGAGCACTTTCTTCAACCTTTCAAGAGTCAAGTCACGATCGTCCTCCCTCTCAGGAGGAATACACCAGGCAAAGTATTCGTTCCCCTCCTGGAGGACATCGTCGACAGTCTCCGGAGTCCATACGTGTGGAGGAATCTCCGAAGCGGTAATCAGCACGGCCACAGGAAGCGCCATCCCCGTCGCTTTGGCCTCCTCCAGCTCCTCTGAGTCAGAGGTGAGGGTCCCACGCAGGACCCACGTCCTCCCCGCCTCCTCCGGCTTAAACTCGAACCAAGGTCGTACCCCCGGGAGTTCCTCCACCACCGAAACATGTCGCAGAGTGAACCTATCGTTCTTCTTCAGAGGACTGACATTCCCCAAAAAGTGTCCAACCAAATCATCGACGTCAGAGAACCGAAGAACACAGCACTTCCCTTTAACCTTCACCGTCGCCACATCCTTACCCTCCTTACCCCCCTTCCCCGATTTTTTCTCCTCCACCACCCGCACCCCCGCGATGTCACACTCCCGAGGGTCAAACGAATAAAAATAACCGTCGCCCAGCGTCCAGACGGCAACCGCCACCGATGACGTCTCCAAAACTCCCTCCGTGTGCTCCGCGAAGAACTCCTCCAGAGCCTGTTTCAGGTTCAAAACAGAAGGGCTTTTCGAGTTCAGAGTTCCAACGGCTGTCATCAAATCGACACTGACGAACATCCTCTTGCCCTCGATTTTCACTCGAGTCTCGTTGAAATCCGCGGCCGTCAGGGACTTGAGGTTCGGCTTCGCGAGTTTTGTCTCCGCGTGGAGGGCGTCTCCAAGGGTGAGAACCTGATCCAGGGTCTCCCTCAACCACGCTCTAGGGTCGTTAAGGGCCTTCATGGCTATGGCCATCAAGCAATTCGCCACGTTCTGCGCGCCCTTTCCTTTGTACATTTCACTGGACTCATGGGTCCAACCGTGCAGCACTGAAATGCCCTTGGAGAGGGCCTTGAAGGTCGACGGGATGTTGACCTCGAGGTCTTTGTACGGATATCCGGTGTCAAAGGCGTTTTGATTGATCAGGGGAATCGCCGCGAATTTTCGATCGAGGGAGTAGTTCGAGAGCGTTATCACTACCGGTTCTTTATTTATAACAATTGATAAGGGCTTGTCGGGCTTCGAAAGGGCCTCCGTGCAGTCGATCGCCTTCTCTGACCTTCGGACCGGCTCCGGGGACTTCGGGGAGAAGGCGGGCCACCGGTTAATGCGTGTCACACGAAGGATTGCGATCTTGTCGATGCAGTAGCGCGAGTCCTGCCTCCTGTTGAGGTTCCGGAGGAAAAGGTCCCGGAGGGGTTCAAGGGATTTGAAGTGGATCAGGCAGGCCACACCATCTGAACAGCGATCACCTGATCCACTGCATGGAGCACCATCGAAGTAGAAATAACCGATGTTGGTGGACTGCCAAATTCCCACCGACGCACCCTGTGCTGTTACTACGCAGCAGTTTTCGGTTCTAGAGAGAAGATTAGGTCCTGGGGTTTATGCAGATGTAGAAGATGTAGAAGGAAAACAAAACGTGAAAAAAGTGGAAGAATCTGTAGAATTTTTATATAATTTATAGAACTGCTATGAGTTCGACAGATCTAACAGATTATCTGGAGATGTCAACAAAAAAATTGTTGATCATTCTGGCAGATCTATAAACAATCTATAGAAATTCTATATCCTATCAGAGCAAAAATATTTATACAAAAGGACTTCTCTCATGCAATAGGCAGACCTGAAGAAACGTGTGAGTCCATCGGAAAAATCCGGGCAACCGACGCTCTCGGCGAAGACGTTCCCGTAGACATTTTTACTCTCGGTCGAGATCAGACATTTGTAATCCTTGAAAAAAAATTCTGGGTAAATCATGTCCGTCGTCATGTACGTCGAGGGATCGATTTTGTTGCGAGTCTGACTGGTTCTGTAGAGTTTATCACCGGCTTCGAGGACTCCATCGACGTCAGATTTAGTCCACATCTTCGCCTCGCAGATGCTTCCCAGGACGATTGCCATCACTGCAGTTGCTGTTCCTTGTTTACCACGACTTTGGAACTTGAAGTGTTTATCGGTCATTGAGTAAGAGCCCCTGAGAATCGCCGATGTGGGGGACAGCACTCGAAAGTTGAACCATTTAGTTTTCGTCGGAGATTTTCTCCGGGCGACCGTTTCTCCGGGATTTTCCATTTGTTTTATTTTTTATTACTTGATAATTTTTATTGCATGGCCGAAAGGCGGTTAGGGATTACTGAAATGATTCAGGAGAAATGACTGTCGTGTGTGGAATAGAACATTCGGCTTGATATAAAAATTCTATTGAATTTCCGTGGAAATCGTTAATAAACATTCAATAAAAGAAAAACTATGGATTTTTATTTACTTATAGATTCGTGAGCATAAATTTTCCTGTCAAATTTTTTATGAAATTCCAGAAAAATAAATATTCAATTCGCGTAAAATACGCAATACGCAAAAAATTAATTCAATCACTTTTTTCTCTTTAACAGTGTATTTTCCGAAATTATACATTCCTCCCCCTTCAATCTTGTCTCTCAATAAGCAGTACAATGCACAATAAATCATAAAAATAGCTCGAGAATTTGAATATTTACCGTGTACTATGGTAACAGATGCTAGTTCAAAATTTTCACTTCAATGGCAATAGAAATTTTCCAATTATTCGAATCGGTAGTTGTCCAGAACGAAAACTAATCAGAAAATGAGTTGCCGAAAATTGAGAAAAAATAATGATCGACCAAAGCTCACCAACTACTCAATTCATATGTACAACATAAACAAATTCTCTATATTTAGACAGATCATAGTAACAATTTTACAAAAAAATATCTACACGTAAAAATATAGTTATTGTTTTTCTTACAAATGTACGCACACGAGAGAACACGTCGCACTCGTTCATTACAAATTATTATTATATTTCTTTATTATTTATATATTTATGTTTATTTCTCCTGTTGAACATCAATGAAGCGCTGGTGTTAAGAAGCTGCTCCCTCGTCGTTATTGCTCGAAGATGTGTGCATAAATATATCGTTTTAAAACTTAACGTGTCGTATAGAAGTAACACCCATGTTTTTTTTACATTAATAAACAGTATATAAACACATTTATATCAGTGTGTAACTTTATTTATATTCATTGAAAAGTGATCACGCATCCTCAGACATAAAAACGCACGAGATTATTTTAAAAAATAGAGCACCAGTTTCCCTTTCTGTTAAATATATGCAGACGATTTTCTAACAGAAAATACTGAATGAAAAAGATTAATTTTCCGTTTTCCCTTCAATTTATTCTATCGAGATATTTTCCCGGAATTCTTTCACATTTTCCTCAAAATTTCCTCAACTATAATAGAATAGATGATAAATTATAAATTGAATGAAAATAATTGCTGTTTTCTGTTGAAATAAAAAAAATTATAGAATTCAATAGCAAAATGATCAATCCAGAGAAATCACTAACTGCGAAAAATCAGGCAACATAAATCCTGGGAATTCAGAGTATCAGCCAGTGCTCTAGATTTTCGGAAAAATCTTTTCCGGGACTCCGAGCTATTTTATAAAAGCCTTACGGGCGAATCATCACACTTTCTCATCACTCCAAGCTAAAAGTCCTAAAATTCGATTACTCATCCTCATGTGACCCCGAAAAATTCACAATCCGCCGGAACGAATGAGTACTCAACAGAGTTCGGGCATCTCAACTAATCTTACATAACGTAGACATAATATAAATTCTCCTAGTTTCTTCAAAAGGACTATATACAGAATAGGTGTATACAATAGACAGAATAGGAATTAAGCAACTTTATGTTTCCATTAGCGGCGCAGTTATCAAGTCGTTTCAAGGCTCAACTCCTATCTAAGTTTTCATGAACCTCATCTAGTCAATTTATGAAAAATATATACTAGAATTATTACACATATTTTTTTATTCGAAGAGCTGTTTGAAAAAATTCAACAGAAAATCTGGACATTTTTTTTAGAATTTCTGGATTATTCCCATCAGTAATTAATATGAATTATTACGAAGAATTTTATTGTTATCCTTCTCATTGTTAGTAATAATTGATATTAATTTATTCATTATTATCAATAAGCATCCAATTTTACTAGTTCTTTTTTTGTTGTTCACCAATAGATATTCGAGTTAAAGAGTTTGAAGGATTTTCGTTTTTTTTTTTGTGGAAATTATTGAGCATTTCACCTGTTTATTATCAATTTTTCTTTCAACTATTCTATAGCGAATACCTAAAAAATGAAAAGAAGTGAAACTGCAACTCAGTATTTTTTTCTCCACCGAATTTTTTCATACATGAAGAAAAAATATTCATGAGTCAAATTGCCAATTGTACTATTTATTTTTTGGGGTAGATAATTTAGTAGTTGGAAAATAATAGTCAGGGCCGATTCTACCTTCCAGTCTGTATTTTTATTTTTAGAAATAGTTATATCCCTTTTTATAAATATTAACCAAAGTTTACATTTTTATTTAAGTGGCAAGAGCTGCGAAGAAGTTTCCCGACGACAGGTGAAGAAATAATTTAGTAATTCAGTGATTTCGGATCAGTTCGTTCTTTAATTTTCTTCAATTTAATCAATACTTCGCCAATTTATTTAAATTAAATTGCACGTTTGAGCTCCAGTTAAATCACTTTTGGTCCCACGAAATTCCACGATCTACTGCTCACTTCTGGCGACAACAGGAATTTTAGGGGCTGAAGCTACGAAAAATTTATCACAAAGACTCAATAGAGAGCGTGAAAAAACCTAATTAATCATCGCTTTTAACAATGAATTCATCCAATTTTCATGGCGAGCATCACCCATTCGAACTCTCAACTTATAGATTAATCAGACAAATTTTCCAATATCACTGAAAAAATTCTCTCAAAGGAGTCGGACATCAAGAATGTATATCCATTTTCAAGATCTAGATTTATCACGTTTAAGGGAAATTCTGTAATTGGTTAACGAACAGAAATATTTCTTTGCTGTTGGAAAAAGCAGAAATAACTACAAAAATTTTTTCTTACAAATAATCTCTCATCAGATTTACATTAAAATTTACAATTCACTTACTAAAAGAGTCTGAAGCAGAAACAAAAACGGAAGAGAAAACTGCTGAATGGACTGGACAACAAAAAATTTGGCGAAAAATTTTCCGACAAAAACAGAAAATATTTGAACAATTCAATCCCACATAAACGCAGCTAATGCCTGCGTTTGTAAAATAAATGATGGGTTCAAAATATTATCAAAGATGAAGGGACTTGATCTCTTGGTTTAAAAAAATATAAATTGGGGAGAGACATCCTTAAAGTCGACGTATTGCAATCGGGAATTTCGGTAGATCGAGCAAATGTACATGAAAACAATGACATGCGCAATAATCATCGAAATAATTATCTCTAATGGCATTCGCCTGTGAACATCAGGACCACTGGCCCTCACCCCCAATTAATTTACTCTCCATGTGATGATGATAACTAATATACAGATTCACATTGAACCGGGTAAGTGTCTTAGTGATGTAAGATAATTACGAAGCTGAGACGAGTATTAACTGTCCCGATTGGGATGCTTGGCAAGAAATCTCCGAGGCCAAGGGAGAGGCCAGTCGTATTGTCGTGGTACAACTCCACCCACGTTTTTCTCAAAATACTTGAACAGTGGAAACCACCAGAGTCTCGCCAAAAAGTTGTTTGGTCCGTATTGCTATAAACAAAATTTGCACGATTACAATTGTTTCGAGTTGAACTCGGAAAATTTCACATTACAGTAGACTCCCTACAGCAGGTTCAATACATGGAATAATTCCAGATTTATAAACAATAAAGAATAATTCCAAAAATGCCCTTCAGTCTCAGTGGTCTCAATAAAACTCAACTATCAGGAAAAAATTAATCCCGAAAAGCAGCATTAGCTGTGGAAATATTTACCTTCAATTGTACATTGTTTGCCATGGTGTGGTAAATATACCAAAGTCTTGTGGTGACCCAGTAAGCTATAATAACATCAACAGTGTAATGCCCATGGGCGACTAAAATCATAATAACACCAACAAATGACGTTATCCCAACAAGCCAGTGGATGGGCTGACACCTCTTCGGAGAGTCTGCAAGTTAAAATAAATTAATTAATTAATTTTTCAATTAGTTAAGCATTGATTGTCGATTAAATTCCAGTCAGTGCACTTACATTCCTTGATAATCAGGTAGCACAGTACGAGGATAACTGTATGCCCACTGAAAATAAGGTCACCGCAGTACGTGTGCTTTCCATTAATTACTAGACCAAAACCAGACATCAGTTGGAGAACGCGTTTCGTGATTATTAGGGGGGTCGTGTGATTGGCTTTTTCACTGCAGTAATACGTTTTACTAACTATTGGTAAGGCTGTTACGTAAAATGTGATGCTCCTCATCATGTACAGGAGTCCCATCACCAAAAATATTCGTCTCAATACGATGAATCTGAAACAATATTTATCAATCAAATCTCTTCGTATTCTCGAGATTAATTGCATTGTAATGGAAATCGAACTGCTTTGTTGTCTGTTATTTTTTCTGGTTGTCTGGAATTTTTTCAATGCACTCACCGGTGTTTATGAAATATGATGAGAAGCATTGCGGAATTGGATCCAATCACAATGAGAATTTCCGACACAGTGAGGGCCCAATCTTGTGCTTCGACGTTATCCAGAATAATATCAGGTAATGGACCATAGACATTTCGATCTGGCACTCTGTCGTGTACCATTGCAAGGGACGTGGTCGTGAGAATAAAGTTGAAAACCAAAAAGAAAAATGCTGCAAGACAAATAATTAGCATAATTAGTCATTAAAAATCGACACCTCAATGAATTAACTCAACAGCGAAAGGATAGAATAAATTATTGATTTATCTCCCAAACAGTCGATTTAATGAAAAAACATTGAATAACTTTTTTCTAGCCGATTAAATGGCCGATAAAAAAGTGCTTTTGACATTTTTCTCTAAACAGAATAGTTGCCTTGATAACTTAACATCTAACAATGGAAAATTCACATGACGACTTTATCACTTGTCTGGAAGATGCATTGATACGTACCAATAAGAGTTTTCCATTTCTCCTTGGGAAATCTTGGTTCCTCCCTGAGTGGTGCGGGAATATCAAGCTTGACAATGCCACTGCCATTCTCCAAGCCTGCCCGCTGATGTCCAATGCTATCTATTTTATCATTGTCATCCTCCTCGTAATAATCTGAACTCGAGCCAACTCCACCCCACCTGTCCTTTCCCTTAGTCGGTGCACCAGGAAGTAATGGTTGCCTTTGATAAACGTCACTAGATTGTGCCATTCCACTGGTACTCCCATCAACAGCTGCCTCAACGTCCTTCTCGTGCCCCTCACCGTTACCCAATGGTCTGTCAAAGCTACCGTAATCACTGTGCAGAGTTATCGCCTTGTGGTCCAATACCATCCTGCGAACAAAGCAATAGAACATCGTCAAGAAGCATCACAAATATAACAGTCATCCCAGATAAACAACTAAAAAAACCTACTGGATGTTCCGCGACCATTACGCGTCACGCATTTGCATGATAATTTTTTTTATCGGAAATCCATAGGAATTACTTTCAAAAATTGCCTTAAAGAATAGAAAAAATATATATTTTAAGTAGAAATTCAATTTTTTTCTTCATTTTTGTTTCAGTTCTTGAACGTGGCTCTCACATCACTCATTTTTCAACTCATTTATCATTTGAATCTTAAAAACCGATTGGTCTTAAATTACTCTAACGCATTCTGACATTGAAATCAATTGATTCACGACAATTTCGCGGAGAATCTCATCGGTACAAACGTTTCAACTCAATGCATGAATACTATAACCTTCGATACAATCAGTGAATCCAACGTTTTTAATTTTAGATGTAATGTCAATAATTGAAACTGGCGTTCACGAGGCGCAAGGAGTCGGATTACGCAGTCATAAAGCATTACGTAATGTAAGTTTGAAGAGCTGAGAGAAAAAATTGCAAGAAGGCGATAACTCGCACGTGATTACGTGTTTTTTTTTACTCGAATAGTACGAGGAGATTATTTGGAGATGTGGGGTATGAGCACCGGATGATATTTTGATCCCCGTGGAGACGCGCAGATTAAAATGAGATTTCAATGTATTTATCCAAAATATAAAGTCATTCCTTTCAACTCAGAGATTCCATCTCAAATTGAATTATTACTGTAGTCTTGTCGAAAATTTCAATCCAAGTGATGATAATTATTTATAAATTATCGGGCTAAATACATTACAATTTGTTTATTTATTCCAGACATCGTCAGTTTTTCGGAAATTCTGTTGTGAACTGGCAAACGAGGATGACTGCATTTCTTTCTCAATATCTCAAAATCGAAGGAAGACAACGATTTTTTCATAAAAACCTTTTTTGTAGTCCTCATAATTTTCTATAAAAAATGTTCACATGAAAAATTCGCTATCTTCCTTCAATTCTGAGATACCGGCTGAAAATTGAGCTCTCATCTTTCGAAAAGAACGAAATGTAACGCTTGATTGGATTCTCTAGAATTGTCACAACAAAAAGTCCAATAGAGTTTACATCACCCTGATGGTCGATTTATACTGTCGGATTCAGAAGGATTTATCATAAATAGTTCGACTTATTATGCTTCACTATGTCTACAGCTCTTTGAACATAAAAAGAGCAATGTATTAACAACTGCATTATTAAATTAAAATCGTTGAAAAAAATGTATTACACTGCAATCAGAAAAGCATTCGCTTACTGACTGAGAAATAATAAAACCATTGCAAAGAGACAGTGTGTATTTGATCACTCGTTTTACGAGTTATTTTATTGGCACAGAATTAATTATTTATGGACAGGCAATCGGTGGATTAATTGTGGTAGAGATTAGTATGAGTTTGGAATAAATTTCTGTGGAGTTCAGAAAGGACTCTTTGGAAAGGCAAAGACGCAAACAGAAATTAGAATCAACAAGATTTGATTAATTATGGATGAGAAAATTATCGGTTTGTTGCAATCCTCTCGCAGGGGAATTGATGGATTTATGGACTCCGGAATTAGAATCCTCTTGAGAATCACTGAATCACATGTACTCGAGGTAGATTTGCCTCTCCATTGTAGTTTTTTATTTTTATAATAAATATAATAATAAACACAACTGTCAATTTCCCCATTTTCCCTAGGGTTGTCTTAAAAATTCATAGAAATACAGAAAATTCTGGTAAATAATTTCGTGAATTTCCAGTTGAGGGGCTTGGAATATCATTTGAGGTGAAAAAATTGCGAGATTTCAAATTTCATTGCAAATTCATTACAATTTGATAATGAAAATTCATATTAGATTGAAAATTCAAATTAATTGATTAATGCTTTTGAAAATTCTGGAAGTTTCAGTGAAACTTACCGAAAATTTTATCATTGTCTCTATCCGAAATAACGGATAGTGTCATTATGCCCAAAATCGGTAATTGAGAACCGATTACATCGAAATGTCTATGAAATTTCCTTTTTATTCGGCAGTGGTGTGGAAGGAATTTTAAATCGAAATTGAAACCTGTGATTTCTGGAATTCGGCCTTGACTTGGTCAAGCCTGACTAGATCAATCGATAAAAAATGTATTACACTAGGTCACTGCCGATTTATCCCCGATCCGTCATCAAATAAACTGTTGACGAATTCTTCAGAACTTCTCATAATTTTCAGTAAAAAAATCTCCGTTTTAGTAGTTCAAATGTTGAAACCAGAAATCATTGAAAACTTTTTGTGGAGCCTAGAAACTTCTTGCGACATGAATAAACTTTTTTCTCTGTGTGACCTCCAGAAAATCAATCTCGACACAGGTATCTCAGAACAACAAGGTGAACAACAATAGTAGACCAAAAATTTCCATATTTACGTTTCACAATATTTCTCACATTGGAAACAAGTTTATCAATATTCACTCGATCTTCGGTATACCGGAGATATCCATAATAAAGGAGTCGACGAAGATAAATACAAGACTGGCTACATACCATTACCGATATCATAGTTATTGAATAGTGTTACGGAAGACCCTGACGAACGGGGATAATTGAGCTTGAGATAATTGCATGATGAATTCAAAAGCCAAGTTGTAAAAAGAATTCAAATTTCATGTCACATTTTTCTTCGTCTCCGATTTTTACCGAGAACTATCAATTCAATCCAAAAAATCCATAGGAATTATTTGTAGCTACTTAAATGTCAGATAAAAAAGATCTATTCATATTTCATCGTAGAATTAATAGTTCTTTAGATAAAGCGATTTTTTGAAGATCGACTTAACTTTAAATTTCCGAGTCAAAAGGTTTTTTCATGTTTCTTCTTACAATCAATAGTTTTTCAACGAATTAACACTGAACACAACTGGAAAATCGAACTTGTTTCACTTCAACTCTTCACTTATGAATTTTTCTATTTTCTAAGTTTACTTATCACCATTTTCATGTTTCCTTGGTTCTTCCATTATCAGCATGAAGTCTGACTCGACGTTAAGTCCGTTGGAATAATGATTCATGGTTGTGACGAATGAATAACGAATAATCATTAAAAAACATCAGAATCGAAGAGGAAAAACCATTAACGCCGAGTCAGCTTTTAGCTCAGTTTTCCAAAAATATCGTCGAATCTAAAGGAGATAGCAAAATATTCATAATGTCCTTTTTTTGAGGTCGCAATTAGCTCTCCAAAAAAGTTCCAATAAAAATTTCTGTATCAGCTCTGACTACTGAGATATTTATCCAAAAATGACCGAGAACTCCAAAAAAAAACCGAGGGCTCCGCATCGAATTCGCTGAGCAATTATGAAAAATGAGGATGCGAATAAAAATTGTGAAAAACTTAAATTCACATGAAAAAATCAGACAAATAAACACTCATGTTAATGCGCCTAATTAGAATGACAGCATCCTTCGAAATTAATTTAGTGAATCACTCATTAGGTGCATACAACTCAAAATAAATATTCAACTCTGGGGACTTTAAATATTCATGTGAAATTAAAAATCCAATCTCATAAAAAAAAAATTGCAGAGTAAAGAAATCTTTTTAATTCTCATCTAAAATATTGCGCGCGAATTCCGTAAATGCATAATTGGGTGTCAAATTTCAATGTTTATTTTAAATTGCCCGAGTCAATGTACTTACGGACTGCCATTTGGTGTACGTTGCATGATTGCAAAAATTCTGGATTTCATAAACAATAATATAAACTAATGCAAAATCAACAATGAGATCTCAAGTGACAGCCATCATTCACTCCGCAATACTGCAAATCCATCCTTTGGTGATTCTTGAAAGCCATAAAACACTGGCACAAGGTGAACATTCCACATATGTTAACGCGATGAAAACTGAGAACTAAATGACAAACTCGGTGAAGTCAGAGGAATGACAGCTACTGAGGATGCGGACAAACCGATACTAATAGCGCAGTCCGCGGTCAGTCTTTCCTTATCTCATGATTACGAAATCGGAAAGGTACGGCTATAGGAGACACCCGATTTTGTACGAATACCCCACCCTCTTTCCATTAAAACCGAGTGACAAACTCAGTCTTCTTCGTGCCCAAATGACCGACATTACAGGCTAATGACGTTTTAATAACAGAATACTCCAGTCATTGAGAATTTTAGTGAATAAGCAGCAGTGAAATAATTCTCATCATCACTACGTGTCATCAATAAAAATATAATTATTTTCGTCATGAATTTCTTTTAAAATCATAATTGTGTAATTATATAATTGTCAGTACTAGTATTGTGTAAATCTTGATCACTAAAAATGGGAGTTATTAGAAAAATATATTATAAGTGAATATAATTGTGCAAAATTACAGAAAGAATTTTTGTGAAGCAGCAGTGAGATACATCCAATATTACTGTTTTTAAAAATAGATATCCCGCGGGTAATTAATAAAAATAAATAGATATGTTCATCAGGAATTCTTTCAAAACCCGTTATTTATTGGCTCAGGTATTCAGGAATAGTAATAATAATTGTAGAATATTATATTAATATAATGATATAATTATAATCTCAATTAGCGCTGCAAAGAAAATTATCACATAAATTTAGAAGTCAGTCCTAAATTTCGAGATATTAATTTGACTGAAACCGCTTTACCGCCTCGCTTAACCCCTGCGGGTTATTGATTTATCTCGAAAACTATCGATTTATAGTGGAGACGGTGAGGGACTTTTCTGGGGCTGATTAAATTCCCCGGAGAAAAGCTCTCTTGGTATTTCCTTATAAAGTCAATAGTTCGTCAGATAAATCAACGTTTGGGAAAATCTAATTTCGACTTTTCTCACTTTATCACTCGATTTTACGGAATTCGAGTGAAAATTGATGGGGAAATCAGTAGAGGTCGTGATAATTTATGTTTTCCCCATTGTATTTCGGTTTCAGAGTCCATAAATTGAAATTTATAGCCGACTTTATCGCTTGTAGAGTATTGCGCGTAAATACCCACGTGGAGTTGCAACACCTGATATGAATTTTGTGCCGTCAGTCAGCACAGGTGGCTCCTTGAAAATTTTCTAAACTCATGCCAAACCTGATAATTTTTATAGAATAAAGTGCTTATTAAATATTTTAGGAGTTGACTGTGTGAAAATCTTGGAATTCCCAACAACAATTGCGTATGAACTCTCGATGTAATGATTTTCTTTCTTTTAAAAAGTCCAATAAAAAAAAACTCTCGATATTTTACCAAAGTATCATAAAAATATTAAAGCGACGAAATATTCAAAGAATCTGGAAAAAAAATCCGGAATTTAAATAAATATTCAAAAGTTGTTTTGAAAATTACCTTATCCAGTTTTTGTTGAATAATTCACAGATAACAAAATCACGCGCGATTTTTTCCATTAGTTAACTAGAAAAATGAGCAGCCAGAGGATAAGTCATGGTTTTAGATTGGAAATCAGTCAATATTTATAATAACAATTGGACACGTTTGGGAATGCAGATTGAGTTAATGCATCGTCGAGGCGTAGAACAACAAATGTAAAAGCATCTGCGGAGGTGGAATGCGAACCCTGTGCTGTCGTCATGTTTTTATTTAGAGCGACTTATCGGCTGATGCCATGAATTATCATTTGTGAATAACGACTTCCTAGTGGTTCAGCTGTTCCTGCCAGGAAGAAAAAACCAGATAGTCAGAGATGGGAGCTAGAAACTAAAGATCAATGACGCAATATCCTCCAAATCCTTCTGATTTTTCATTTTTTCCAGTCACTGCTGATAAAAAAGTCTGAGCTCTCCGGAAAATTACGAACAATTTCAAAACTCCCCGCCTAAACTCCTGTCAAAAGAAATTCCCGAATTTTCGTAAAAATTACACTTCATTGAGTTTAAAGGGAAAACTGTCTGAAATTTTCAGTTCCTTGAAGATTCTGGAACAGTCCAGATTTTCCAGGGGAAGACTAAAAGGGGAAGAATAAAATTCCGGGATTTTCAAGGGGAACATGAATATTCATTCGCAAATTCCCCTGGACATCCAGAAATATTTCCCCGAATTTCCCCAAGCCCTATAGTTTCTCCCAGTGTAATCCAATAAAAACTTACAGTTTCCATTTTTCGGGGGAACGTTGGGTTGCCACCGATGGAATTTCTTGCCAACATTTTTTAACACTGGATTCACTTTCATTCGAAGTTCAACGAACACTCGAGCGTTGTTTTCTCCAGGTTTGCAAGCAGTTATCTAAATTGACGATCGATTATCCTCAGGAATGACTCAGAGTCGTTACTTACTCTAGATTTCTTTACCCGCATTGTGGATTCATTCTTGTTTTATGACAAGAGCGAAATGTTGAGATGGAAAATTACAGTGCAATACATTTAGATAATTTATCGCAAATTCTCTGGGGTTACTTGTGTATTGTATTGATTGGACTGTAGTTTGCGAGTTTCAAACGAAGTTTATCATAAAACAGCTATCCACAGGCGGGAATTCAGGGTGGAATTGACAACTAATGAATAAAGACTGGGAAATTCAATACAATAACGTATTGTTCTCTCTGGATAATTCTACTCGACTCAGTAGAATTTTGTTTAATGAAATTTATCAATAGGTTTGAATTTTTTTTGGAACAAGGAGATGTTTGTTTTTCTATTTGAATGAAAATACGAAAAAGGAAATTGAATTCACTTTTATAATCTTATCGATAGACTTTATTAAAATTACTTTCTGCGCCAATTATCAATTTTAAACGAATCTTGATGAATCATTCTCTTGTGGCGTTAGAGATAAAAAATTATCGGGATTCCCCAAGGTTCATGAATTTCTCAATTACTCTCAATCATATTTCAATTCCATTAAAAAATTTATTTGTTAAATCAATTTCGATGGTTTTCGAAATTTTTGCACAAATTTTCGTTGCCCTCCTGCAACCGTAAATGATCTTTCATCATTCTTCATGAATTGAAAACATTTCCAGACATTCGAGACATTTGTATGATTTTCCGTTGTCCCAAAAAAACCAATAAAATACCATAAATCAATTTTAACTTGTCGTAAACTAGAGCAACTCTAATCACACGAAAACGAAAAAAATTCACAAATCGCTGCACCGAGAAAAGAACTAGCTTTACCAAGTAAACACACCAACTAAAGAAATCCAGACACTTCAAACAAAAAGATTTACACAAAAATTTCCACGATAAAAAAAAAGTTAATTCAGAATTAGTCTTTCTCGGTGTTCACGAAATCACTGGAAAACGATAAAATAAGAAAAACATGTTTGTTTCAAAACTTGATCAAGTAAACAGCTACAAAAAATACACGACAGTGATATCAATGATCAATTCACAATCCAACTTACCCCAGAAGACACCAAATTTTCCATCATTATTATCTCTAAAAAAAACTGAGCCTTTACAATCGAAACCCGTCATGACCGCATCACTCCACTCCTCCAATTAATTACGATAAAATTCCCACCGACAAATACAAGAGTGAGCCTCCACCCACACAAAAAGACTCCAAATGCTCCCTAAAAAAACGCATATGGGACACCCCAACAACACCTCGAAGTCAAAGCGAATGAGTCACTCATTAAATCATTCAAACCCCAGCCTTAATCTATAGCCCAGACAACACAAAAAATTAAACGTAATGAAAAATACCTGTCCATCAGACTTCTCCATACCTTGTTAACGCCGAGGGCAATTCAACCTTGACAGGTAGCCTTAATTTATGCATTTATCTATTAATAATAATAAAAAATTGTCCACGCACTCCAACAGGATCAACTCCAGAGACAACACTGGAGTTTCTTCACATCAGATTATTTTTATTGTCTCACTAAGGCACTTGGTTTTATTTATCGTTATTATTAAATATTATTATTGTTTATAAAAACACAGAACACGAGGGGAACCGAAAAAACCACTAGCCGCACGCAGTTAATGGATTTTTTCTTTAAACCTGACGAATTATTATTTTTCTCCAGTTCAATCACATGTTGATCTCCATTGCTATCAGATCTATTACGCAAACTCATTGCTCCTGCGATTCCTTGGAACGCATTAACAGCATCTCGAAAACTTTTTCGTCTTGAAAAGCGACCGTTGGGGTATATGATACGATCTCGAGACGATTTATTCGTCCGTTTGTTTTAAGGGGGAATTCGTCAATTCGGGCCTGACCTTTGGTCTTTTCTCCGGGGATTTTGGGGTTTCAGGATGAGTGCAGGTGTACCGGAAACTGAGTTATTGTGTGGGTTTTTTTCAATCACAGTTGGGGATTGGAGACGATGAAACTTATGGCTGGATATGTACTCTGTGGACAAACGCCCCTTCAACTCATTTCATTTCTACCAATCCGGTGACGCTGGGGGATTTTCTAGGGATTATTACCTGGGGAACATTAGGGGCGCGAGGCTTTGAATTTGAGCCGGACGAAACAACAAATATATATATATTCTCAGTAATAATATATAATAAATAAATATTTCTAGATATATATGTATATACTCAATAATTCAATAGCGAAAGCGGGAAATTTCGGTTTTTCTATTTCTATAATTTTTTTATATTGAATTTTGAGGCGCAAAAAACAGATATATTTTGCATTTTCGAGGCAGATATTGATTAATAAAATAATGAGTTAATGTTGAATTTTTAAAGATCTAATTACATATAATTATTTCATCATCGAAGTCGTACAGTGAGAAATGGTATGTCTCATTTTCCTGGAATACCCGTATACTCCAAAAACTATCGATTTCATGAAAAAATATCAAAAGACCTTTTTTTTCAAGAATTTAATAATCTCCAAAAAAGTCCTTCACATTTTTTCTACTCCATCAATAATTCTCGCACTAAATAAAAAATCGAGGAACTCTCATCATCCCATTCCGCAACACCGCAACCACCCCCATTAAATCAGATAAATAAACATTAAATTCTCACCTCAGCAAAGCCTTCCGCCAGCAGTAATCGGTTTCAATAACCAGCAGCTGCAATTTCATTATATACGTGGGTCTTTCTCCGGACATGGAAGAGCTTGAAAGTAACAAATCCCAGATAAATTCAGTAACCCCTCAACAATTTCTCTCCACCTTAGAACTCTCAATCGGTCACCGTTTCCCCATCATCCTTGACCATTATTGATTCATAATCGCGGCCATATATCACCTATTTTTAACCAGCAGATTGAACAGCCAAATCTTCCGACAGACGAATCTCCTGGTGAAATTGAGAGGAAATAAAAACCCCTCAGGAAGGGGCCATCCACTGACTGCTAGGAGGGATGTTGGCACAGAATAACTCCGAAACTCCTAGAAAAATCAATCGATTTGATTTTCTATTCCTGATTGCAACAGTGAATTCGATGATTAGAGTGCGGACGCGTATGACATGTCATTTTTAGTGCTCGAAGGACTCTAAGGAACTGTCTAAGGAATCCGCTGCTCGCGGATTTGCTACTGAGGGTTGAAAGAGGAAAGAGGTCTCAGGGCCGTCAGGCACACGAGGATCAAAAGCGCAAGCGCTCCCTCATGGATCGCTTTTACTAATAAAAAAAAAACAGAATACCTTGTGTTTGTTCCAAAAATTATAGACGTCACCTGACTCGTCCATTCACAAATATTCCATACGCCTACGTCTAGATAAGGCCAAGGACCCGGTGTTATCTGATTGACGGGGCGTTGATCAATTATTTCGTCATTATCACCGACGTCTACAATTTTTTTTCTCATACGTGGAAAACCTTTGAAAAACTTACATATCTTTTTCTATAGCAAATGATCAGATTAAATTCTTGGAATTATCAATATTTAATAGAAATAGAACCAAGACTAGAATTTTCAATTAAAATTCTAATGAAGCTTTAAGATATTTTTTATAGACCTTCACCATAATTTCAACTAAATTTCGTAGAGCGATCGAAAGTTATTTCTGTTGATGTGGCATTAAATGCCTCGAGTGTACCAATAAGTCCTCCAATCGATTTAAATTAAATGATCAATGACCTATTCATATGCAATTTATCTTCTCAGACATTCGATGACTTCACTCTTCGCATGATTCATCCAGTTTCAATTTATCGCGCCATACAGTCCAATCAAAATGGCAACCCTCACGCATTCGAACGAGAACGAAGTCAGCAGAAAAAAATCAGCGTGAATAAATCATTCCGAAATAAAAATCCAAACGGTTCATCGATTAAAATTGTATCAACTGTCAAATAATTAACATAATTAAACAATTATTGAAAACCCAATCAAATCTTCGTAAGCCTAAAAATTGGTTATGGGTCACTTTTCGGAGAATATCTCTGAATCCATAAAACATAGCACTATATTTGTCAGAAATTTTTTTGTAGCCTTAATTTCCCTGTGCAATATTAGTTATGAGAAGAATTCAGGTATCTCTGTTGGATTCTGAAATATTCTCCGAAAACTCAAATCAACTCGTTGCCCTCTATCTCATCTCCGGTGAATTGTAAAATTCCCCACTCCTCCATTTTGTCCTATACTGCGTCAAACCTTGTGCAACGGTTTTTTTTCGAGATAAACCACTCACACAACTCCATTTTCCTTGAAAAAATTCTACGTCATCATTCACGAATACATCGACAAAGCGTTCGCATTGAATTCTCTACCCAATTAGTTTATTTTCTTCTAACGTGACGTGTAGAGTTACTCCGAATAGGAAGTGTCATTTCCTTATTTTTCAACGCAACATATTCTGAGTGGCAGTCTACGATTGTTCATCCTGTGGAACAACAGATTTCATTAGGTTCATCGGGTTATCGTCCAGGTGTTAAAAAATCATCGAGAGATCGTGAGTTATTCTCCTCATATTAAAATCAACCCCTCGTTTCGGGTGAAAATTAAGACATTATCACGTGTTACATTTTTTTTTTCAGAGGTGTGTCGAGGACTTTCTTTTGGGTGGCCCCATTTGCGTGACTCACGTGATTACAAATAAACATATTGCCTTGTCGCATTGATCTTCGGTATTTCTGACGTGATATTCAATTTCAATATGAGTTACGGATACCAGGTGAGAAAACTTTCGGTGAAAGCATGAAAAAATTTTGTTGAATGTCTAGATCTCATTAAAATTATAAAAAATAGTACGTTCTGTAGTTATTTACTGATTATTCTATCATTATAGTTATAATGATTATTATTTTATCTCATGTCAATTCTTTCCGCTGATTCTGTTAGTAGAAAATGAAAAGAATTGATATTTTAGAGAATTTCCCTAAAAATTTTGTAGAAATTTTATAGGATTTCTAGATCCGTTCAGATGCTCCTGCATGATCCCACTAACATCATAACAACATGTGTATATTGAATTTCTCTTAAAATTTCATTCAAACTTATTTGAATTGATATAAATCGATATTACACAAATTATTAAAATTCTACTTGACTCACATCACTTCCGAATATGGAAATTGAACAGCAAACTCCACAGATTGATCGATTTTATTTGCCTGTGATGAAAGGGTCCTCCAGTAATGCCGTTTCCTGGAAAAAAACCACCAACAAGCTTCGGTGTGCCACCAGGCACCCCCTCTGCCCCCAGTGCTATGCCCCATCCTGACACTAACTACGGCTTTAATGCACCTCCAACGAGTTTTGGAATGCCTCAGCCTTACTCACCCTATCCTCCCCAGCCACAGTATTCCCCATATCCTCAGCCGCAATCTTCTCCATATTCTCAGCCACAGCCTTCTCCATATTCTCAGCCACAGCCCTCTCCATATTCTCAATCGCAGCCCTCTCCATATCCTCAGCCACGGCCTTCTCCATATTCCGAGCCACAGCCGTCCCCATATTCTCAGCCACAATCCTCTCCATATTCTCAACCACAGCCCTCTCCATATCTTCGACCACAATCTTCTCCATACCCTCCGCCACAATCTTCTCCAGGTCCTCAGCCACAGTCTTCTCCATATCCCCAACCAGGTGGACATGTCCAACCAGCCTCTTACTCCCACCAACCCTCACCCTACCCTCCACAATCATCCCCATACCCTCATTGCCCACCTGGAAGCATGAATCCTCATCCCCAGAGTGTTAATTCATCCACCAACTATCCTGGTGGGGCCTGTCCTGGGGGGCAGAGGCCAGGTCAATATCCACAACTGCATGATACCAAGCTCCACTCAATGACTTACCACACTGGCCCCACCCCCCGGAAGGCTCCATTCTCTATCAAGGTGAGAGTGCACGAAATTTTTTATTTCAGAATTCTGCTAAAGCGAATCTACTGTCATGGAAATAAAAAAATTACAGAAGAACCTGAGGTTTTCTGTTCATGAAAATTATACCGCAATTATCAATGTACTTTCTTTATAGTTGAGCCCAACGGTGGTACCAAGCTCTGACTTCGACCCTCGAACCGATGCCGAGGTTCTGCGAAAGGCGATGAAGGGCTTCGGCACCGATGAGAAAGCCATCATCGGTGTTCTCTCCTATCGGAACAATATGCAGAGGCAAGAAATTGCTGTACAATTTAAAACACTTTACGGAAAGGTACAAGATGAACGGATTTGATACGGAGAGAATCAGAAAATTTATGCGAATGTTTCGTTCTGTTATCAGGACTTGATCAAAGACCTCAAGTCCGAACTCTCAGGGAACTTTGAGGATCTCGTTGTGGCTATGATGACTCCGCTTCCACAATACTACGCGAAAGAACTTCACGATGCGATGTCGGGAATTGGAACTGAAGAGTGCGTTTTAATCGAGGTCATGTGCACCATGTCAAATCATGAAATCCGAGTTATTCGACAGGCGTACGAAACGAGTAAGCAAATTCCCATTAAACCTCACATACTAAAAAAAAATCAATTTCTAATTATAATTTTCTAAATGAAGTGATTCTGCAATTAATTTCCTTCATGCATTTAATGTACTTACTCCCTTCATTGATTTTTCTAGTGTACGGGCAGTCTCTCGAGGACGCTTTACGTGATGACACCTCCGGAAACTTTAAACGCCTGATGGTGTCACTGTCTTGTGGTAATCGAGACGAGAGTTTCGATGTCAATCCGGCAGCTGCAGCAGAGGATGCCCGAAGACTCCTTCAAGCAGGTTAAAAATTTAATCATTAATACATCAAAATGCTCTGCTCATAATTTCCATCGGAAGTTTTTGTTATTAATAATTATTTCCAGGTGAATTACAATTCGGAACGGATGAATCAGTTTTCAATGAGATCCTGGTGCAACGTAACATTCCCCAGTTGAAGCAGATATTCCTGGAGTATCAGAATATCACTGGTCACACGATTCACGATGCACTGGAGAATGAGTTCTCTGGGGACATCAAGAAGGGACTTTTGGCTATTGTCAAGTGCGTTGGGAATCGAGCAGGATTTTTCGCTGAGCAGTTGTACAAGAGCATGAAGGGAATGGGAACAGACGATCGACGTCTCATTCGTTTGGTTGTGACGAGATCTGAGATCGATATGGGCGAGATAAAACAGGAGTTCTCTCGCATTTATGGACAGTCTCTCGAGGACTTTATTTCTGGGGACTGCTCCGGGCACTACAAGAAGTGTCTCTTGGCACTCATTTCGTAATGCCGACGACAATCTCTACTCGTCAGGAATACAATTTGTTAATTACGGGCTTTACTATTTACAGCGAAATAATCAT